ATTTTATAACTTTTGTGTAGTATATTCGCACTCGACATCTTGTATGAGTGGCTGTAATAAAGTTGGGACTATCTTACTTTCTGCCTACAGCTGAGAGCTATCTGCCTTATTACAAGACGCATAAGACACATCCAAATAAATTAGCTGTTGCAACTGTAATTCCCGCCCAGCCACAATATTACCCGACCAGGCTCTGTCAGTTAAACCTCCGCTTTTTACTCCTCCCCATCCTCACAACCTTTAGCCCTTTTATCTCTACCTCAGCATAGGCATATACAAGACATCTCGTAGTAGATCTCTCTTTCTATACCGTTCGAGTTGGTATTATACACCTAAGTAATATTGCAGCTATGGAAATTGCAGGACTTGGTATTAGAGTAGTCGGGCTTGTAGGCGCCTTGACTTTAGTCCGGGAAGCCACGGGTATATACGATTCTTATAAGAAGGCTGGATTCGAGTTACAACCTTATTTTATTTAACGTAACGCAGCTCTGATCTTACTGTAACAGTAGTGCGAGAGTGTAGGCTATAGCAATAAATAGTTAAATAATTGTTACTACCTAAATCTTGACAACTTAAAAGTGCATTAAGTAGTTAATAATCTTATAAAGTGTATTTATGAGTCTTTATATATTGAACCTAGTATGGAGAGTAAACTGCTAGATAAAATATCTTTATTAGAAGGATTATAATCTTAATAATAAGAGCTTTGTAGTTATATAAAAGGACTAGTATAATTGGAAAATTATTGCGACTTAATATCTTATAAAGTAAGGTTAGTATAAACTTAGTAGAATAAGAGTAAGGTTTCTTATTAAATTTAGAATATTATTAAATTGTTGTAATTTTTATAGGATTTGATATTGCCTCTTAATATCTAGAGTATAATCTTTATAGAAATTAGCTTAAGTATAATTAATTAGTATATTTTTATCTTTATACTACTACTTTTAATAAAATAATTATAAAATTAAAATTAAATAAAGTTTTATATTCTTTTATATAGTATTTATTTATAGTAGATAAAGAGTGTAGAAATAATATAATTATATCCTTTTTATAAGAATTGCAATTCTAATAAATTTAAATGAGTTTAAGAGGGAGCTTTTTTATTAGCTAGAAATTACTTTAATAATAGATATATATAATAATTTCCTTTAAAAATAATTAAAGAGTATATATAAATAAATTCTTTAATATTAAGAATTTTAAAAATAGAAAAATACTAATTATACTAATATAAAAATCCTCTAGATTTATAATTTTACTGAGTATAATAAGATAATACTTTATATTAAGATTATTTAATATTTATAATTTAGTAACTTTATTATTACTTATTACTTCTTTTTATTTAATTTAAATAATTATATAGATTTTTTTATTATTATTTAAGCTTAGATATATTAATTAATTTATTTATTTATTTAGTATACGCTATTTTACCTTTTATCAAGGCCTATAGAACTCCTACTACTTTATCGGATAGGGAAAAACCGTATGCCTAAACATTGGATGAAAACCCTACCCCTTCCTTCTATTTCTACCACTCTATGTACCCATAAGGTCACTGTAGAGCATACAATGCAACTTCGAGTCTGTAACTGGTAACAACACCTCAAGCTATTCCTCGCCATTAACACCTCAACCTTCTAGTCTTCCAACCTTCCTATTTTCTCTGGGTAGAGGGGGGTTACCTATTTATAAGCGCAGGAATGCGCTGTAGTTAGCCTCTTATAGTGGGTTGGCCAGTCCACTTCCTAAAGGCAAGCTAGGGACCAATTAGCTTGCTACCTTAGGCCCGGTTAGCGAGTCGGATCCTCGGGTTCAATCCCTGTACAGGCTGACTTTTCTGCTAGGGGACGAGGCTAGCAGTCACAGCACAATTACAAGGATTGTGCCCTGGGCTGGATTCGAACCAACAACCTCTTGAAAAAAGGTCCCAAGCTCTTAACCACTGAGCCCCAGGGTTATATTAATTAATTACTTAAAATAAAAAATACCTTTAAGTTAGAATATACTTAATAAAATATTAATAATAAATACTCTACCTCCTCTAGAGATATTAAGAAGCTCTTTAAAGTTATAATTTAAAGCTTATTAAGTTATATCTTTATTATTAATAGCCTTAATAAATACATAGAAATAAAATACAATTAGAAGGCTAGTTATTAATAATTACTAATTAATTTCTTTTAATTTCTAAATTAATCTATCTTTAAATTATTATAACTTACTATTATAAGCTATAATAAGCTAGAAATATAAAAAGGCCTTTATATAAGCTAATTTAATATAAGTTAAATTCTATTTAATTACTTAATTTAATTTAATAATATTAAAAATAATACTATATAATTTACATAAAATATTATAAATTAAAAACTATAAAATAAAAGTAAGCTATAGTAAGATAAGCTTTTATTATATATAGTAAATTAATTTAAAAGTATATTTCTTAATATTTAAGTTCTTAAAGAATAATTTTATAATATAAAAAGTATAAACTTACTTTATTAAATAATTAACTAAGTACCTATTAGGCTAACTAATTTATATAATTGGAATTAAATAAAAATTACCAATCTTTAAAAACTAAATAAAAGCTAAATTCTAGCAATTTTATAATAAGCTATATTTACTTTGTATTTAATAATTATATTAAAGATTACTAAAGTACTTCTTTTTATAAATTAAGAATATAAGATATTATTTAAAGAAGAATTACTAGATATTATTAATAAAGAATATATTTAATTAGAGATTTTTAAGCTTTATAAATTATTAGTTAAAATATAAGAGTAAGATTTAAAGCTAGTATTTTTAATTGTTTACCTAATTTATTTTTTAATTAAGTAATATATCCTCTATTATAAACTTATTTTAATAGAATAATTAATTTTAAATGAGAATTTACAAATTAAATAGAATGTAATATAAAGTAATATTCTTACTATAATATATCTTTACTATTTGAATTTTAACTAAGTTTAAGAAGAAAAACTAGCTAAAGAGAAGAATTTAATACTTTAAGTATTTTAAAATTATACTATTATATTATAGTATAAGTATATTAAATAAGATACTAATAATATAAAATAAGTAATAAACTATATAAATACTTTCTTTTATATTAAAAATAAAAGTTAGAAATAATAAAAAAAGTAAGCTAATAGCTATTTTTAAGATTAAATATTATAATATAAAAGTAAAATCCGAAATAGTAACTAGTTATTTTATATAGCTTTACTTAAGTTTATAAAAATATTAATATATCTTATTAGAGAAGTAAGGCTAAATATAAATAATATAGATATCTTAGAGAGAATAATATTTTTAGTAGCTTTATTAATAAGATAAGTATATAGAGTAACTTACTTAATTAAGAGAGGGGCTAGTCTAAATATAATAAGTAATAAAAGGAGAAGTTTACTTTATATTACTTTAAATAATAGTTATTTAGAGGTTATTAAGCTACTATTAGAAAAAGAAGTAAATTTAATAGTTATTAATAAGAATAAATAAACCCTACTTAACTTAACTTTAAATAGTAGTTATTTAGAAGTAATTAGGCTATTACTAGAAAAAGAGGTAAATTTAATAATTAGAGATAATAATAAATAAACCCTACTTAACTTAGCTTTAAATAGTAGTTATTTAAAAGTAATTAAACTGCTACTAGAGAAAGAGATAAATTTAATAGTTACTAGTAATAATAAATAGATTCTACTTAACTTAGCTTTAAATAATAGTTATTTAGAGATTATTAAGCTACTATTAAAGAAAGAAGTAAATTTAATAGTTACTAATAAAAATAGATAAATTCTATTTAACTTAGCTTTGCTAAATAGTTATTTAAAGATTGTTAAGCTACTATTAGAAAAAGAAGTAAATCTAATAATTACTAATAATAATAAATAGACCCTACTTAATATAACTTTAAATAATAGTTATTTAAAAGTAATTAAGCTGCTATTAAAGAAAGAGGCAGATTTAATAGTTATTACTAATAATAAATAAATCCTACTTAACTTAGCTTTAAATAGTAGTTATTTAGAGATTATTAAGCTACTATTAGAAAAAGAAGTAAATTTAATAATTACTACTAATAATAGATAAATTCTACTTAATTTAGCTTTAAATAGTAATTATTTAGAGATTATTAAGCTACTATTAAAGAAAGAAGTAAATCTAATAATTACTAATAATAATAAATAAACCCCGCTTAATATAACTTTAAATAATAATTATTTAGAAGTAGTTAGGCTGCTACTAGAAAAAGAGATAAATCTAATAGTTGCTACTAATAATAGATAGACCCCACTTAACTTAGCTTCGCTAAATAGTTATTTGGAGATTGTTAAGCTGCTACTAGAGAAAGAGGTAAATCTGACAGTTACCAATAAGAATAGATAGACCCCGCTCAACTCGGCTTTAGATAGTGGTCATTTAGAAGTAGTCAGGCTGCTACTGGAGAAAGGGGCAGATCTGACAGTCGGAGACAATAATAGATGGACCCCGCTCAACTCGGCTTCGCTAAATGGTTATTTGGAGATCGTCAAGCTGCTACTGGAGAAAGGGGCAGATCTGACAGTCGCCAACAAGAATGGATGGACCCCACTCAGTTCAGCTTCGCTAAGGGGCCACTTGGATGTAGTTGAGCTTTTGCTACAGAAGGGAGCCGACTTCACGGCCGTGAACAAGCTTGGAGAAACTCCGCTCATCTCGGCTGCAGCCCATAATCAATAGCAGGTAGTCAAGCTTCTGTTAGAGAAGGGAGCAAACTTCATCAAAGACCCTCGCGGCAAAACACCCTTGATTTGGGCTGCACAACGAGGGCACTATGAATCTGTCCAAGTATTGCTTGCGCACGAAGGCGTGGATCCAAACATTCGAGATCAGGTCGGTCGAACCGCCCTCTCGTGGGCTGCTGGGAAAGGCCATGACAATGTGCTCGAGCTACTTCTTGCAGTTGAAGGCATCCGTAAAGACTCGGAAGATTGCAATGGCTATACGCCAATCATGTGGGCGGCCCGGAAATCGAAAAGAAATGCGCTACGATTACTTTGCCATCATGGAGCCTTGGTGACAGAACCTTTGAGAGATGGTTTGATATTTCAGCTAGCTATGTTCATGCCTGATGTTGAGATATGTGAGCTACCTATGTTGGATTCTGTAGGCTTTGATGGACTTTTCGGGTTTGAGAATCTGTTTCAAGGCCAATGTACTCTTTGTGCATAGATATGATTTTCGGTCTCTAGGCGACTTACCGATGCAAGTAGTTAAGATACCAGGATTTTAACCTAGACTCATCGAATTGTAGCATCCCTACTGTTTAGGACAAATAACATCGCACCACATTCTTTGTAGCTTCCTGTAGTGGCATGTTGCCACGATGATAAGCATTGAAATGGATCAATGCGCTGCAATCGCCTCAATCAATCGAGACCTTGTTGACTATATCAAACGGTTGGATGACTGGAGACATGGCTTTAAACAAAATTTGACGTGGTGGGCGAGACGCCAGGGACCCTCACAAATTGTCCAAATGCTGCTGATCATACCCTTGCAACACAACTCTCTCCTGTGAAAAATTCTCTCACTCTTATCTCACTCTTCATCAAGTATTTTTGAGTTAGAACGGGATATAGCAATAGAAGGGTGAGATTATAGAGGATATAGATACTGCAAACTATTCAATCCAGGGATTAATACTCAATAGAGTGTGGATCCTGAATCTGTTAATTGTCTACTTCTTTAGATAGATACTTCTTCTGCTATTTTCTCACTCCTATCTTACGACACAATCAACAAGACCGGGTTGAAGTTTCTCGTACAAATGCAAAATACGCTAGCAAAGACAGGGGTATGTCTGGGTTGAGATTCGTAAAACAAGACCGGGTTGACATTTAAAGGGGTAAAAAAAAAAGAAAAAAAAGATAGCTGTAAGCGCTTCAATTCGTAGATACCCTATGAGGATTTGAAGGACTAGGAATACGTAATTATAGCGTTGTAGCCCTATTTATTATTCGATGGTTACTGGATTGAAGTTCAGCTAATAGGGTTGTGATTGGATAGCAACTAGGATATCAACAGTAGGCTGTAACTAAAAAGCAAAAAAAGTCAGCAGCCACACAGGACCATTTACTACATAGATAAGCAGATAGAGAGTTAAATAAGAGCATATTGCAAGTAGATTTACAGAAGAATCCATTAATACTATTCCATTTAAGAACCCAGAACAAGAGGATATTATAGATCCATTTATTTATATCCCAGAGTTCCCAATTATTATTTGCAAGGTGTGTAAGTATGGGTATATTGCTAAGAGTCGTGCTATTCATATAACCCCTTATTGCCAGTTGAATAACTTTTCGCACGTGCGGCATCACATGATCAGGAAAATCCTTCCGCAGCCCGATTTCCTCCCCCTTTACATCATACTGTCTATCGCGATCATAACACTCCTCTACAACGCCACCAATACCCCGATTTCAATCGTTTTTTTATGATGGATCGTGAAAATGAGTCTCTCTTTATTGATGATCCCAATTTTATGACCATTGACGAATTTTCCAACGCATCACAGAGCGAGATCGACACCTTCACAGACGAGGAGCCCGTGCTACGATGACAGAAGACTACAGTTCCTTCGAATCTACAGTCTCTGTATGGCGATGACAACACCACAACCGCATCATCAGCATCATCACAATCACCGACTCCATCATCATCAGCTTCGAGGATAATGGGTAGGGCTGACAGCCCTAATAACGTACGGCGGATGACTGCAAGCATCCGCCGGGACCGCACACAAGCCGAGATTGAGTTAGAATCATCACCATCACGAGCCTCAACACCGTCACAGACACAGGCCTCAACGCGACCTTCAACGCGGTCCTCGACTCGATCACAAGCTAGTACAAGACCACGCATGAAGAAAACAGGAAGCAGACAAGGAAGGGGAACGCAGGCTAGCTCGAGGCCCTCGGCAACACCAACGCCGTCTGGCAATAGCTTCATTCCAGCTACTCAGTCGTCCCTACGAGATGAGATTGTGGTCAGGCTGTGAGGGACTTTCCTATGATTCCAGGGCGCCTCTTGCTGTCATAGTAATTTTGGTGTGGAAAGGAGAAGGTAAGGAAATCTAAGCGAAATTGCGAATTCTCACGTGATAGTTATTCAACTGGCAATAAGGGGTTATTTGAATAGCACGACTCATTGCTAATGCAGTCCGAACGCATTTAGAACACACACACACTACAATTTCAGCTGAAGAGGTGAATACGATTGTAAGGAAGATCGATGCAATCCCGGAACTAATCCGTACACGGAACGGATTAGACAAGTTCCCGTTCCCCACTACCCACAATCGAACCGATTCCATACATCGAGGATCATGGTAGAGATCAAGCGAGACAATGTCTCAATCAGTCCCGAGACGTCGTGGTCGACCCAGAAAAGCAGCGTCTGAAGAGGAGCGAGTAGCCCGGGAACGTGCTCTGTAGCGTGCACGATTACGACGATACTACTAACGACAACACCAGCAAGCCATCCACCTCTATGGCGTGCCGACCGAGTTGCAATAAGTAGAATTTATATATTATTACTATTATCCACCTTATCCGCCTGCTATACTGTTGACTACGGATTCGGTTATTGGCCTCTACCTAGAGCCTTATCTCTAGATCCCCATGCTGTTCGAGGATCTACTAGCGGCCGAGCCTACCTACAATTATAACTACGACGACGACGAACTGAATGAGGCTAAAGCGGGCCCGGCTGGAGTATTATACAGCCTACTACCTGTGGGGGATAATGAGCTACATGATACACCATCCTATTATTGCCCGGCTGGAGAAGAACGAAGCTAGTATAGCTAGGAGATATAGGACCTCCTGTAATTAGTTGAGAAAAGCCTTTATATCTTAGTATTATCAGTCCAAGGTATCTATTCCGATTCCCTCGGGGCGGTATTCTGAATTGCAGTTTGGGCTTGCTTAGCTAATTCCAAACTATAGCTGATAATTACAACGATAATAACAATAATAATAACGATAATAATCGCGGATTTATTAACTACTCTTATTAAAATCCGCCTATTCTTAAAAACTTAATTTCTATACTTAAAAAATATCTTGCCTAAGAATGGATAATATATCTAAGTTGCTTAAGTAAAGAATATAAAGTAGATTATAATAGCCTAGTTAATACTGGTTACTACTACTTATATAACTCTCTAGAAGATATTATTGTTCAGCTAGATAGATTAATTAATAATAACTATAATTATTATCCGCTCCTATATATTACTAATCCTTTTTCCGATCTTCTTAATTATGCCTCTTAAACTAAGAATCTCTATAGTAGCAACTCTTCTTTTAATATGAAATAGCCTATATACCTATACTACTGTAATTTCCAAGTAACTTGCCAAATTGCTCTTAAAGGGTTTTTAAGTAATAGCATACTACTAAGTCTCTACCTTCTAACTAGATATTATCTTGTCTAGCTTTTTATAGATAATTTTATTTAGAAGACCTATAATATCAATAGTATTTATAGTTTTCTCTCTTTTCTAGCTATTACTAAGTTAGGTATCTAATAGTACTTGTAATTATATATTATCTTCAATTATACCAATAATATATATCTTAGTATTAATATTCCAAGTAATACTTTTTATTAAAATAACTCTTATTTCTAGGAAACTTACTAGTAATAACAACCTCTATATTATATCTCTAACTATTATTTTAGGCGAATTTAAGATTTAGTCGATATATTTATCTAGATATTCTTCCTAGCTTTATACTCTTACTATATATATAATAACCTATATATATAAACCTCCCTACCTAGGAAATAGTATACACTTTAGTATGACTAGATACTCCTACTAGCAATCACTATAGCCATTTAGGACCTGAATATTCTTTAGTATATACCAAAAAGCTGCTGAATTACCCAATCTACCTTATGCACTCAGCAGGAGAGTATCTTAACTAAGCACCTTAACAAGCAGAATGTAAATACTAACGTACTTAGGTAAGGCAGTAGGAGCAACACACTCTCCTATATCCTCCAACATAGATACCTTAAGGCTATATAGTAAGGGGTCTAATTACGCGTAGCAACATTTCCCTAATTCGCTGGCATAAGACTCTATATGGGGGCTAAGAACTTGAAGCTTGTCTATATGCATCCCGATATTACTTAGACTATTAGCGACTAGCGCAACTAATGGAATACTGCTGTTAACGAGGGATTCCTCGACCCTAGTAGTATATATATTAATATTGGCCGTTAATATACTCCTCGAATTAGGTCTGTCGCCGAGGTTAATATGCTCCTTTAGCGTTAATATTGCCTGAAGCATCTCTAGCGGTAGCGACAGGCGTGGAGTTGTTATTATAACGCCACAAGATTTATTAAGTAAAACCAGCCCGAGTCAGTCAAGTCTGGCATCGCCCCCCTCCACCAAGCCGAGTACCCATGGGTTATAATGCGCGACGCGGTCGATATAATTATTATGCCTATATATAAGAGCTGAGAGGCTCTGGAAGGCCTTCTATATAGCTAGTTCTACAATCTCATTAAAATTCTATTTGACGCTGCTAAATAATATCTATTTTAGAATCCCCAAGTCGAGAAGATAGCTATAGATTTTTGTATCTGGCTGATTGTAAAGGCTCTACTCGGGGGAATTATGCTAATTAAGCCTCCTTTAAACTTACATACTGCCTAAGTAAGCTTTGTGTTAGAGCCGGCCTAGTTCCAAGTAGTGAAGATATTATTTCTATCTTGTTTACTTATAGGGTTTAAGCTGAAGATTGTATATCTTAAGCGCTCCTCTAATGCATCCTCCCTTATTTAGCTTCTTTCTATACAGCAGCCGAAACTAGTTATTATTAGGTATCTACTAACCGGGAGCTATCTTTCTTTGCTATTTAATTGAGAATAATAGTATACTTCTTATATAGTAATATTAATAAAGATATCTCAAATTATACCTACTGTAGTATAAAGCTTTATAGATAAGAATGCAACTTAGATATCTAACTCTTAGATAGAAATTGGAAATTATAGGAGCTCTTTATTTATTTTAATCTAATAAGTAGCTTAAGGCTGTAACTCTATATATTAAGTAATGCCTTAGCTAAGGGGTTAGTAAAGGTACTAAGCTAGTTCTCTAACTAGCAGCTTATAGTAGAGCTCTAACTAGCTGATTTTATATAACTAGTTATAAAGAAATTTGATATTTTGTTAGTTAAGGTTGCTATAAGCCTGTAAATAAATAGGGGTGTTGTAAAATAGCTTTTACTTATACTAAATATAATACGGCTTTTTGATAATTTGTTATTAACTCCCCCTAAGCTTAAAATAGTAGTTTATATATTCCCTTTAAAGATACTGGATTTTAATATAAAGATCTTCTATTTTTACTCTTATTACTTTAATAATTACCTTATAATACCCCTCTTACTTCTATCTTATAATATTAACATTACCCCTATTAACCTTCTATACTTTTCTCTTTATCTTTTAATATATTTTACAAACTATAGCATTAAAGTAGGTTTTATAAACTAGCTTCAACCTATACATTTTGTCTATATAGTATTCTTAGAGGTACTATTTGTAGAATCTCCCCTATTTAAAATATCTATAAACTCACTAAGTTTAGTTAAAAAAAATACATAATAAGTAATAGTTTAAAAAGAAGAATAAATTAAAACTAAAAAGCAATTATTAAAGGATATTATAGAGTAGATAATTATGGATACTAGTAACTTTAAGTTATAAGTAAGCTTGTTTTTACTAACTAGCCTTCTCTCTTATATATTTATATCAAGGCAATTAGCTTTACTTAAATTGGGCTTTATAGATATAGGCTATTAAACTTATCTAAAATTTGTATGTTAATTTAAGCCTATGCAATACTATATAGCCGGCATTTAAAGGCGCAGCTATCCAATCCCTCTATTAGGTACTTTTTTTAATATTAGTTATATTGTTGTTGTTATTAAGGGGTGTCCTCCTATTTGCTACTGTAAATAGCATAACCACTCTATTGGTATCGAGATTACGCGATTTTATATAAAATAAATGGGTTATATATAATCCTGGTAATAATTCTTTGCAAATGGGTGTGTGTAATATAATTAGAACTAGTAATATTAGCAAGGCTAGCGCTAAAGTCATCCTTCTTATTGAATAAGAATTAGCCCGTGGAATCTTAATTATTTATATCTAGAGTTCTTATCTTAGCCTAGATGAAATCATTGAGTTCATATAATAGAGAATTCTTAGTAGGATTGCGGGTCTTGATATATATCTTTTAAGATGGTATATACACTATACAACATTCTTATTATATTCTCACTCTTATCGTCCGAGGTTTACCAGGGGGGGGTTGCTTCCTAAATTAGAACTAGCAATTATACATCCACATTATTATCGCATCCACGTCACATCCGTCACATGTTGCAAGATAGAGCGGCACTGGAATTTCACATCGTTTAACGCCGTTGCACCGAATAAATAGCTTAATAATAAATAGGCCTAGGTAACTCGCCTGGAAGTTTTCTTTAAAGGATTTAAGTTAGGGACTGAAATTAGAGGCAAATATACTAAAGGTAGAATGCGGGGTTAGTATGGGAAGGGTGCTGATATAATTTGAGTACCTGGGTGCCTATGTATTAGTTACTGCCGACTAGCCTTGTAGAATAGATCGTGGATCTACTGAGTAGATCTATGTGTGGATTTAGTGGAGTGGATTGCAACCCTGAAAGTACCAGTAGAGGAGGCATATTGCAGAAGAAAGTGATCCGTTTGCTTATTATATATATTAATTAGTTGGAGGTGGATTCATCCCGGTCATTATTTACATGTGATTCTTAATTACGTATGATTATGATCTCTGTAATAATAAATTAAATATTTATATATTTAAATTATCTAATAATCTGCCTTAGCTGTCCCAAATCGCTCTATATATAGGAACACCCCGAGTCTCAAGACCATAAACAACCTTCTTAGTAATCTTCTTATTTATAATAATAATCACAGCCTCTGCCTTGAAACTTTATACTAGATTATAATCTATCTTAACTAGATCTAGGCAGCTAAATCTCTCGGTATTATGAATAACTACATTAGTTATCTAGGCCTTAATAACATTATACAGATCCTCTCCAAACATTTATTCTAGTCGAGATGTTAACCAAATTAGCTATGTCAGGCAAGAAGGACTTTAAATGTAGCTCAATATGGGTCCAATACCAGATCCAGTTGCGATCAGGACAATACGGTTAAAGAGAGTAGTGATACACATAACGCCGCAAGTGGGAACTCCACGGGTCCAAATATGAGACGGTGTGAACGGCCTCTAGTAACTGTATTCCAGCTATCTAGTCCAGGATGCTATTTACATCAAAGATGAAGAAGAAAGAAAGAAATTCCTAAGTGCCCCTGAGCTGTGGAATGATTTCCCATCCTGGCGCGCACGAGCCAAGTACGTCTTGCGGCACAGCCGCAAGGATATGGGCCCTGGCCCGTGACACGTCATGACAAGAAGGCTGAAGCTGGCAGCCTTGGCGGCGGAATGTAATTCCGTCTCCGCGGCGGAAAAGGTCGGAAATTCGGACTTAAAGATATGCTGCATTGTTGCTGCTGACGGGTTGTAATGACGGCTTCAATTTACGGGTTGTTGTGCGGGTGGTTGTGTGTGTGGATAAGGTTAATGTAAATTGGACAAAAAGTGAGGGATTTTGGTGTGAAAAGCCGATACCGGCGTCCAGCCTCAATGAAGTGGGTCCAGCCACAAATTGGGTTGCAAATAACTCCAGGGTGGGTTACTTTATAATCACTCCCAAGAAATACTCTTCAAAACTTGCCGAAATATACACGGAAGGTTGAGTTCCTTAGCGCAAATAAATCGGTACGCTCCTAGGGGAGGGCATTTCGTAAATGTCACGTAAGGGTAAACTTTCTAGTCACCTATAGAGGTTTGTTTTTGGCTGACAAAAGCTAATTTCTCGTTTCACCTGGCGCGTTTTACATGTGAGAGCTGTTCTACAGTAATGTTATAGGTGGCGTATGTGGTCGTAAAAAAGCCGCAGCTGTAACGTGTTCTGGCGATCCGAGGCACCTGGCGGTGTTTAATGGCGGCCTAAAGGACGCTGCCGCTCCTACGGGGGGCACACTGATTAGGAAAAGGGCCCTTGATTCGGAAACAAAAATACCCCGAAGCCCATACATTTTAGTATGGAGACTAAGGTCACTTTCTGGCGATTTCTCAAAAAATTGGAGAGGCAATGCGGGGAGGGTAGATACCTCCTTGCGCATAGTATTTTCTATGCAGCCAGAGCTATTTCTTTTCTTCGGAGTCAAAGGCCCCTTTTCCTAATCAGCGCAGTGCTCCTAATAGTGTAAATAGTGCGTGTGGACACCCCAAACTGCTCCTTTAGTGCGTGTGGCTGGGCCACACTAAACCACCAGCGCGTTGAAACGGCCACACTAATTAAACTACCAGTGTGCCTGCAAGGCCCACACTGCACTGTTAGTTCGTCTGTCACTTTCACACTAGTTTATTTTACTAGAAACCTTTTTCAGTGATCAACTAAGGGGTTGATCCGTTAATGGGGTAACTAGCTGACTTAGTACCCATGCTACACTTGATGCAGAGTATCTCCAGCTTCTCCCAGCCTCGCGAAAGCAGAACTATTGCATTGTGGCACGATGCACCCCGCACTCTCGCGACTTCATCAAGTATAATGTGGCAAGGTACACAGTACAAATGAGCTTCGCAACCTATAGTGCATTTCTCTTTAGCAAAGCGCGATGATTTGACTCAACCAGCATGTCGCACAACTTTCGCGACGCAGATTTGACGTCACAATGTCGTCCACGATGCCCCGATACTAGACTACTGGTGATGTCAATGAATTGAGCTGAATGACGCAGCGAGTTCTGTTCAATGGTCGGCGTCTTTCCACTTTCTTCGAACTGATGGATATGATATCGAATTATGGCCGATTCATCCCTTCTTAGAGCATCCGGCTCGTCGCGTTCATCGTGGCCACTCCCCGATGCTCCTGATCCTCCTGTAATCACAACATTTCTCCTCCAGTTCTTGACCGGCTCACAGGTAGTGCAAATTAAACGACAATTCTTCTTGTCGTTGCGTCGAAACAAACAGGTCATGTGGACTGGCAACAATCGCAAAGAGGCACAGGAATGGGCGGATCAGAGAAGCATGCGGACATTGTCGACCGCTATGGGGCCGCTTCAGCACGGCGACGACCCACGATGTTTCCTACCGAGGAATGACCAAAAGAGACGGTCGCAATACATGAGAGGTGCCTCAGCCCTTTTCGCGTGGTGCGTTACCACCGACGACATCGTCACCATCCTCTGTCCGCCGCCTCCAGACCGATTTAACCCAGGAGGAGCAACGAACATGCAACTGGTCGAGCTGCCAATCCTGACGGGAATTGCCGGAGGCCAAGCTGTGTCCCGAATTGACGTTATCCACCCTATGGTCCATGGTGCCGAAGACTTCAGATACCAGTTGTGGCCGGTCGATGAGGTGCACATTTGGATCCATGCTTTTGCCGAGGCGGGAATACCGAGGACGCTGTGGCTGCAGCGAGCAAGAACGCCCCAAGTGCAGCGGATTGAAAATTTCCTACGTTCACTGTCAAGAGATATGGAAGAAAACGCCATTTGCCATGCGATATTGCCTAAGCAGGGCTCAACCGGTGCGGCGATGGTTGAGGTTGCGCCTCAGGTGAGTCAGCAGAAGGGCAATATTCTTGGAAACAACAAGAAGGCAAAGGGTAGGAATTTGGACTATGGTGGGCCGTCAACCACACAGCCTAAGGCTTCTAAGGGCAAACAGAAAAACACAAAGATAAACATGAGTGGATCAGCGCCAACATCTGAAGGGGAAAAGGCCAAGAAACCAAAGCTCCAGCAGCAGGCACCTGGCAAGAAGAAGAAGACAAAGGTTCCCTCAGGTACCGGGAAAGGCGTCCTCTCATCAGCTGAAGGGAAGGCAAAGAAACCAAGCGTGGTGAGCGCTGTGCCTCAGTCTAAAGCCTCTAAGAAAGCGGCTACGGGGGCTGAGAAGGTATTGGTCGGAGGAGGTTCATCACTGCAAAAGCACGGCATCGCCAAAAGTTCGAAGAAGAGGAGTGGTAAAAAAGCAGCAACGGAGGGATTGACTGCGGCAAAAAGGTCACCGGGCGAGGCAAAGAGTAGTGAAAGCACAGAGACTGCCGCAAACACAGCGAGTGCACCGGCGAACAACACCGAAATTGACAAGATCCCAGCTCAAAACAAGGTCAAGAAGACCAAGTGTAGGGGGAATAAAAAGGGAAAGAACAAGGAAACTCAATTCCTTCAAGGATCGTGGATGCCGTCTATCTATGCGCCTGGGCAAACCACTTGTCGTTGCACCATTTGTCGAGGCGATCGCGCTTCCCTACGCAGAACAGCGTCTCCCTCTGTGCAGTCAGACGCAGCCTGGACGAAGCCCAATGCGTTGTTAACTGTAACCATTGAAAAGCTGCGCAAGCAGAGTACAGAGGAACGGGCGAGCCGTCTGATATGGTTATCGGGGGAGTACAGTCGCGCTGAGGTTTGTCTACAGTCAGCGCAGACTTCTTTGTTTGTCATTCCGACAGCCAGCTGTCTTGCGCTCGAGAGGTCGCAGTCTGGAAGAACGTGAATCATCTGAGCACAATGCCTTGGAATTTCTGTCTACATGATTTCCCTAAGATGAGTAATATGTACCGCATGGTGATTATAGTATTATCCTCCGAAACTTGACCAGAAGGCGGAGCTACCCTAAAGGGTTCACTCTGGCTCATTTGATGTGATGATGCATACTCTTGTAAGATAGGGACCATGTACTTTCGCAGGAGCGGCTTGGTGTTATCCTGTTGGCAGATAACATCAGTAGGCTCAGATGTAACCCAGCCTACAACGTGTGTCATCACTTCCATCATAACTTGAGCCTTTTCTCTTTTTATATCGAGAAGCAGGTGGATATCTGGAAAACGAAGAACAGGGTTCTCCCGATATAGTGATACACCTCGTAGTATGCTTGGTCGAGCAAATGGAGACAATCCAGGCATTTGCACTACCACCATGGTACCGCCGCCTGCCCATCGGGTACGACCTCGACCGAGATATGGCGACAGAAGCCGCCAACAGGATGGAGGGCATCCTGGTAGCAACCAGTGCTTCCGAGAAGGCAGGAAGGGTAGGCATGGGCGGCATCGTTCGTGATACTCTGAGTAACAGACTGGGCGAAGTGGTGGCTAGGTACTCGATTACGATCGGTTCGAGAGACGATCAGAACGTGTATACGGCAGAGCTGGAAGCTATAGCGATGGCGCCGAAATGCATGCCAGATGGGCTCCATCATCGGCAACTGACCGTTATGACGAGCAGCCGATCGGCCTTGGAAGTGATTGCACAACCGCAACAGCAGTCGGGACAATGTACCGTTCGAAAGATTTACAAGCACGCCGAACGACTCTATAAAAGCGGCAACATCGTCAAGATGCTGTGGGTACCGTCCGGAGACGAAGACTTCGGGTTGTGGGATGTTACAGTGGTTCAAAGACCTTATCCAATGCTCTGATCACGCCTGAGCTCGCTCCGAGAAGCTGTGATGGGTTTGAGACGTCTTCGTCGCCGGCAACACGGCTCGTTCATCGCATGCGCCCTCGATACACGCCGAACAACACGCGCATGGAGCGGAATTGCTCCGCCGCGACTCCTTGGGGCATGGACACTATCGAGTGGCTGCCTTGATTTCCGAACCCTGCAGTTTTCGCGTTGAAGCATACCCTCTGGATTATTTCACGATCAACGGGCGTAAGATAGATTCCGCTCATCATCTGATTTATCAAATCCTCTCTCCGCAAGCGCCGTAGAAGACTTTGACCACACTGGATGAATCATTACCCCGACGTGTCGAATCATCCATCCCAAGGTTTGACTCGTCGCTCTTCCAACAAGTCTCTGGCTCGAAGAAAGATACTGATGACGCACAAGATTACTCTCTGCCATTATGTGCCACTTCACCCGATCCACCTGCGGCCGATGCGGCTCCTTGATGAAAGTGGAGCGCACGGTAACCTGCGAAGATTCCGACCAATACAATTGTGACGGGACAAGAGCACGAACGAGGTCGAGTGCGACTTGGGTAAAATGATTGTTTACAAGGAGAGAAAGAGATTCGTAAGGAAAACTCTGACTTAAGCTATTTACACAATATAAAATGAGACTATTCATAAAGTATGAAAGTCACATGATCGTTCCCTCACACAACCTCGACCCCTGTCTCGACTCTGACGACCTCTTCCGCAAGCGATGAACAGTACGAACGTACGCTCTGGAGGCATTTCCCAGGCTGGGCGTTCTCTGAGCGAGCCAGGGAGACGCGTTGCTGGGCCTGGCAATTTGGATATGACATCCAAAAGGAAGACGACCGCAGATGGATATGCCGAGCGTGCATTCGCAAGAATAATCCACATCCACGTCATTTCGAAGCTGATGGTATTCACAACGCGTACAATCATCTGTTCAACGACTACGGGATTCGCGCTCCTCCTGGAATGACCAAAGGAACTGCTAAAAAGAAGGCGAATTCTAAGGGTAGAAAGCCTCCCGGGCAGCGGACTCTCGCGGAATCCATGAAGCTCGATCTATACGACCCCCGAGAATAAGCAATTGCGAACGACTTTATTAAACGCTTCAACAAGGAATACTTCCGGAGGCTTCTGATTGACTGGATCGTGGCCAAGAATCACTCCTTTTTAATTGCCGAGGAGGTAGAACTCCATGCTATCTTCGATTACTTGAACCTATTAGTTTCGGCACGTAAAGCCAATATTACCACATAACTGTTCGAGAAAAGATCGTTGCCGCATTCGAATAATATAAGCAGAAGGTGATAGAGGCCTTGAGCAAGGCGCCTGGCCTTATCCACATATCCTTCGACGGCTGGCGGTCTGGAAACCAATATGCCTTATATAGTATCTGTTGCTTCTTTAGGGACGAAAACAATAAGCCTTGCAAGATTATGCTTGGGCTCCCTGAAGTTAGCGCCAGGCACACTAGGCCTAATATCGCCGCCGAAATCCTCGACGTAATTGAATCGTATCAGATCCAAGACTTGGCTATTTCACGCTTGACAACGCGAAAAACAATAATACCGCCATGGAGATTATTGGTGGAGAGCTCGGCTTCGTAGGGGCACGCATGGCGAGGGCGCTGTTTTGGGCATACCTTGAGCCTCTCCGCCAAAGCCATTCTATTTGGGCACGACGCTGACGCTTTTGAGCGGCGGATATTAGGGGTAGAGCCTCTTACCGAAGCAGAACACTTGATTTGGCGCAAGAAGGGGTCAGCAGGCAAATTGCACAATCTTGTAGTTGCTATCCACAGATCTAACTTGTTGACTGGCATGCTTCGCAACATTTAACAAGAAGCCTTCAATAAGTCATCTGATCCCAAACTGAGCGCCAGAAAGCCGCTGGATGTTATTTTGGATAACGATACTAGATGGCTGTTACAGTTGTATATGATACGACGAGCTCTACTGCTTCGCGACTATATCGAGCGACTTATTGCCCACTATCAAATCGACTTCAAATAATAGAACAAGACTAAGAGGGGCAGCTGTTAGAAGTTACTTATATTGCCCTTTATTTGCCAGCCAGAGAACTAGCTATCCGACAAGGACTGGGAGGTGGTCGATTTATTTGTGCGAATCCTTAGTTACTATGAAGCCACGATTAAAATGCTCGAAGGCGACGGCCAGATCCGCAAGCGGAAGCGTGGGTGGACTGGGTTATATGGCAATATTTGGGACGTTATTCAAGGCTTTGAATTCCTTCTCGAGCAGCTTGAACGCTTTAAGGATACCGCGAAGGACTTCCCTGATCCTGAACACTTCAGGATCAATATAAATTTGGGCTGGCAGAAGTTAAATGAGTACTACGAGATATTGAGCGAGACGCCCATCTACTACACTGGCCTGGCGCTCCATCCGGCATACCGATGGAAATGGTTCGAATGTAACTAGACTGACCGCCCTGAGTGGATTGATGAGGCAAAAAATATAGTTTAAGATGTCTGGCGTTTTAAGTATCGGAAGGCTATATTGCCTGGAGAGGAGCCATCAGCCATTGAGCCAGTTCCCAAGCAGCAAAAGACTTCGGACAATCCGTTCTAGGAATACCTTAAACGAAACCCCTACATAGCGCCAGAAGCAGGTTACGATGGCCTTACGCCAGGCGAAGACGAATATCTCTAGTGGATTACGCACTGTGAAAGTGGCGATGGCTCTATCGACGATCCTCTCGCTTACTGGCACGAGAAGCGATTTAAGTATCTAAACTTATTGCGAATGGCGCTTGATTTTCTCATGATATAACTAATGTCGGCTGAGTGTGAGCGTCTTTTCTCAGCAGCAGGTTGGATGGTGAACCCTCTACGCTACCAACTTGAAGCCCAGATGATCGGGATGTGCCAGGTATTGCGTTTATGGCTGAGGGCGGGTATTATTCATGAATTAGATCCCTTCTTTATCTTGGTAGACGAAGAAAAAGTCGACCTCGAATTGGCTTAGATGTCAGATCAACAGCCTGAAGGATGGGCAATAAAGTGGCTCACTTAGGTGGTGGGCGTTCAAGACGAGATGGAAGCCAGTTGGAGATTAGTCTTACTTAGAAGTTGGAATAAGGGATGTATATGGGCAAGGGCTTCGGGAATAGCTTCACCATCATGGCATCAAGAATAGAGGCACTTGCCAATCCACCCAATCCACCCAATCCACCCAATCCACGATAGCTTCCAGTGGATCCACTCTACTGAGATATTCAGTGGATTATGATCTACGCACTCCACTCGAGCAGCCAGTGGATTGAGTGGAGTGGCTTTCAACCCTGGGTAAGTGGAGCATACTTACTTGAAGTGCCCATGTAGTAACTACGGAGGTTATTATCTTATTCTTGGCAACTTAGGGTGCTTATGGAATACTTACGAATGCAAAAGAAGAACGCGAAACTAGAAGATTTAATAATTAGTACTTCCTTCAAACATTACATCACTAAGAGATCCCTGTGACGGGATAAGAGCACGAACGAGGTCGAGTGCAACTTGGGTAAAATGATTGTTTACGAGGAGAGAAAGAGATTCCTAAGGAAAACTCTGACTTAAGCTATTTACATAATATTCATAAAGTGAGACTATTCATAAAGTATGAAAGTCACATAATCGTTCCCTCACAATCCCTCCTCGCACTCTTAACTACTCTTACAACGGTATCGATTGCCATCGCCATATTCGATTACCAGCACGGTCAGTATTTCCAGCGTTACCTTGGCTATCCAGAATATGTTCGACCTGTTGCACCGATAGGAAACGTGGGATATACGAGGAGGAATCATCTAATACATAGGGGATTAACGCTTACCTTGGGGGAATTATGCCTTTTAAGTACAACCAATAGATAATGCTGCAGATAAGGTATATAAGAATCTCAAGCCAAATCATCCAGATATATACACTGCGGAATATGAGAAGGCCGCGTCTCTTATAAATATGTTTTGTTTGCTTTATGGCTGTCTAGGTGGTGAGCTATCTAAAGCTGATTGTAAAGCCCCAGGCTAGCGAAGTAAGAGTAAGGTTATTGTCAGTTACCTCTTGGAGGATAAAATTGGGAGAGAGGAGTGTGATCATCATGAACTAAATATTAGTTGATATTAACTTAGAATGATTATAATTTTAGTCAGATTCTGGTTCTATTTAGATTTTAGAAGAGGCCTTATAATTTAAATGAAGGACGATATTGATCAAGATAGGTATCCTTGCCTATGGTGTTGGTGTATCATCAGCCGCCAGTCAATAGCTTTAGCCACAGGAGCTGAAGTCTAGCCCTCACACGGATCTAGTGACGCAGCACTGACTTAAGTACGTCGTGACGCCCGCAAGCATCCCCCGCTTCTGCACAGATTGGCTGGAATTCAAGCCTTCCTCCCCCTACCTGAAAATCGCCCACCATTAACAGTACAGGAGGCTTTGGTACCTGAAGACGACTCTGGCAAGAAAGCTTCGAGAACTCCAGGCAAGCTTTTAGAGAGCACGGCCTTGCTGAAGACTGGTCTGGCTTCGGCACGGACGTTGCTTGTGGAGTGGAGCAGCGTTTGGCGGAACGCTAAAGCCAACTTGTATTTCTGGTAAATTCCGGGGAGGGAAGTATGGCATTACCCGGGCGAAGTGATCAACATAGAATGCTGAACGACTTTCAGGTTGAACATCACTATAGGAGTAGCGCTCTAGGGTTGGAGGCTGGAGCGGTTAAGTGTCGCGAGATTGGATGCGATTCCTAGTAGATCTGACTATACCTTCAAGTTAGCATAACATCTCGTCAGGTCCTCTTCCGTACAATTCAGCACCTAATGTGCAATCTCCAGCCTGATAGTCCCTGTCGTCGAGAAGAAAATCAAGAACGAGTAAAATGCTGACCATCGCTATGGAGAGAGCAATGAGCGCTAGGGTTTTAGTGTATTTCCAGATTTCTGTGGCGCGAAAGCATTGTCTTGGGCAGCGTCTATTACATTAAATACAAGATGCTACTGGCACAACAGGTAGACAAGCGAGTTATTTGCTAGAATAGCTACTGATACGAATTGTTATCACACGCGGTGTTGGTCCTTGTGGTTAAAGTGACCTGTCCCCTCCTGGCCTGTGCATTACTGGCGTAGCAACGGCACTGATGCATTGTTGATGGCGGAAGTCATGTGAAAGTGACAGATGCCGATCCTAACGCCACGGGCCGGCTGATATCCAGGCGTCATGCAAGCGTGACATTGCTCTCAGCGCTTGAGAGACGAAAACCTTCTGGGTGCGTCTATGAATCGTAATATCGTAAGCTACGGTTGCTTCAGAGGGATGAAGCATTCAGAAGACAAAAGTTGAAAGGGGCGGAGATTGATTTTGAGTCAGGTGGCACTGTTCCGTTCGCATTCTTGGAGAGCCCGATGCAGGGAAGCAGGTACTGGGGCTGCTACACTGTCGACGCCCTCCCTACATAGTGCATGATGCATTTTGGATGCCGTTTGTGGCTTGCGGAAGGCCGGCACATCGCCCTGGCGGAGCTTTCCGTGCAGGGGGGATGAAGTTTGTGTTTGCGCTACTGTCCGCTTCCCCGGCACTCTAAAGTTAGGCTGCTGGGTGCCGGCATGGTCCTGGGTCAGTGACGAACTGTGGCGAGAAGATAGTGTTTCTAGCACTGACGAGAATCCTCGGCCATCAACTTTGCTTATGTGCCGTTGCCGTCGTCTCTATGCCATAGTGCCGGCCTGACCTTGGCATCCGGTGACACGGCTGAGATGGTATGCTACTTGACAATTCAGCAGCAAAGGAACCCGGATCCCAAAGCTGACACGCAGCTCGAATTTCTGCACAGAAAGGCTGAAGCTATTTCTACCGCCGAATTCTTCCGCTGATTGGAAGCCCGTTTGTAAGAATGTGCCTTTCTGTCATGTTCATCCGAGCCATAAATCGGCATGTTTCTCCGTTATCCCCGTTATCCCATATTATCATTTTTTCGTTGTATGGGCTACGAGGGGCTGACACTCGGTGGCGTCAGCTGGCTTTCGGGGTAGGTGAAACTCACTCTTCAGCAATTGACAGAAGTTTGGGCTGGAGCCACCCACCTAGATATCTTGGCCGCTCCGTTCCCCAACGATGGCAAAGATCCCTCCTCTGGATGCGGACATTGCGTTTTGCCCTCAATAGCGCGACATTTTCTTTACCTTTAAGAGCCATATACACCTCGCTTCCCCGTCTTATATCTTCAAATTCTCGCCACCCTCTTCCGACTACCACTGTGTCGTGTCGCGAATCATCCACTGGTTCCAGGGCTTTGCATTTCATCGGGGAGGGCATCCCACGTCGGTTTGAGAACAAATGCCAGCCATTGCCGTCTCGTTTCACGCCTATAACGCCAGCGCCGGACAAGGCAACAAAGGAGGAGAATAAATAAGTGGGCATCATCGATAATCTCCGCAATGGGAGTGTCCATGATTTGATAACAAGAAAATGAGGTCGAGTTTCAATGAGGAATGTCAGAGTAGCTTGAAACCGGAGGTACGTATGTGGGGGGCATCTCCCGTTTTATATTAGAGGCAACAATCTCGGGCCGTATCCCTAACCCTAGAAGTTGATCACGATGGCCCCATTCGGCGAATGTGGACAGACGAGTTATTTCAGATGCCATGAACGATTGAACGTCCCCGGCCTAAGGCCAGATCCCGAGCTAACCGTGAACTTACATCACACTAGCAGTTGATGCAATCCCCATGTATTCCTTACTCAAGATAGATGCGCGCGCACTTCCTCTGAAGGTCTCAAATAAGGTCTTAGATTTCATCTTCATATCGTAATCGGGCAACATCTGTTGCTTCAACACCCCTGGCGACAACCGTGCTACTACAAGATCATAACCACACCTCAAAAAGGGACTTACATAACTCCAGTAGATAGAGCGGCATCCGGTCCGTGTTATGTCCGTGATCTGTGGCAAGTTGATCGTAGGGCAGACGAAGGAATCGCGTGAATCAAGGTGAGTCCTTTTATGATCAAGAAAATCGGGACTATTCCCCTCCATCGGCCTGCTGAGTGTTGAGCTTCCACATTTGTGAGTATTGTAGCCGCTCTTGGCCTCTTTGTTGAGCTTCACGATCCTCTTGGGCAACCTTCCCGCTTTGGTCTTCGGTCACGCTTGAGCCAGCCACGCTTTTGGTCCAGTCCTGCCATCGGGCTTCCGGAGAAGATCCAGCTTCATGAGAGCTTCGATTTAGGTAAAATAACACAGTTATGTCATATAAGGTAGTCACTACGAGCTGCCGCCTTCTTCCTTCCAGGTTTTGCTGTGTCTTCATCCCGCTGTGCCTTCAGACTGGGTATCGATCCATCGTCGCCAATGCGCAAATAGCCCATTGTGAGCCCTCTCTAGCCGATGACAGCTCGAGCGCCTTTCTTGCCCAACACACCCCTCTCCTTGGGTTTCGGGCTGTTGTTCCGCCCTTTCTTGCTCTTCAGGAATCCAAACACGCCGCCTGAGCCCTCGTCCTTGCCCTCCGCGGCATTATTGGCATCCGTCGGTAGGGTCGCATCCTGGCGTGCCAACTCCGACCAGCTACCACCTCCATCGAGCGTCACCTGAACGCCCCCAGTGGGACTTGTGACTCGTTGGCCCGCGATAATGGGGTGGTGGGGGGTTGGGAAGTCGTTCTGGAACTGGGGGGAAGGGGCCGACATGGGGCTAGTCTCATCAGTCGTGATGGCTTGAAGAGCGTTGTCCGGGTCGGGTTGCACCTTATCATTAAGGCCTTGGGCGGCTTCAGTGATCCTGTTGGGGTTAGCACACGGGCCACAGGTCAAAAGGATAAGCCACCTCACTTCTTATATGCAGCCACAGTGTAGTCAAACGGCCGAAAGTCGGTCTCAATCATCCGATATAGCTCATCCTCGCGGATCTCCTTATCGGTCGCATCCGCTTTTAACCGCTCTCTCGGCTTCTGGCGTCTTGCTCGGGCCTCGAGCGGCGCTGCCTCCAAGAGTAGTTCTTCTACATGGTAGGTGAAGTCGAAGTTGGTTTTGTGGGGGGAGGGAACAAAGACGGGCTCGATCTGCTTCTGCTCGAGGAGCTCAAAGTCGAAGACCTTGAAGAATTCGTGATTGGCGAAACTGTCCCATGTCGAACCCATGCGAGTGTCTCGGTTGGGGTCGAGGGCGGAGCCGATCGCATAGATACAGGCAAGGGACACGGAGGGCTGGGTGACCGGGAACTTGGGGTTGGCGGTCTGGATTTGCGAGCTGAGGGAGCCTTCGGAGCCCCCGTCGAAGGGTCGCTTTCATCGAGTCAGTCCTGCTTATCTAGCACGCGGAAGGGGGTCGAGAGCGATGTCGTCTGCTCAGAGAGAATCGTGCAGCCATTGAGGCGTACCTTGTTGTAGATGCACTCGTAGAACAGAACACCCAGTGACCACCAATCTGCGCGGACATCGTATCCCTTTCCAGCATATACTTCGGGGGCGAGATAGGCCGGAGTACCGGACTTGCCCGTCAGAGTCCTGCCAGCGTCGACGTCTGAGGCAACATTCTAGCGCATGGTTAGCAAATGCACACCTCCGGAGCATAGACGGCAGGAACGTACAAAATCGGTCAAGTGGACGTGGCCGTCGGCGTCGAGAAGGACGTTGTCGGGCTTGATATCTCTGTGGATGATGTTCTGGCTGTGGATATACCTCAGGGCGCACCCCAGCTCGGCGATCCAGAACCCGACTGCCTCCTCGGTGAATGTCTTTCTGGTGATGTGGAACCGCAAATCACCGCCGGTCATCAAGTCGACCACAAGGTACCTGTCACTGCTTGTAAGCCACAAGCATGGTACGCCTCGGCATGGGATTGGTGGGGTCGTACATGTACTCGATATCCTGGAAGCTGTATCTCAAGTTGCAAACGAAGGGATGGTTGACGTATTCGAGCATCCGCCGCTCGCGGATGATGTTTCGTACGCGCTCGGATCGTACGACTGCAGTCGTGGCATGGTGGTCAGCGTAGGAGCAAACACATTGCGCAACCTAAGGAGACGGGGTTTTGAGGCAGAGGGAGGGGATGTCGTCGAGACGGGAACCGTGGGATAGGAGTCGAGGGGTGGGACACAGAAAAGAGCGAGTCGGCGGTGTACCTTCATCCTTGCGGATGTACTTGAGGGAAAATGACAGATTGGTATGCTTGCGCTCGACGATGCGCACCTTTCCAAAAGCACCTCGGCCGACGACTCTCAACAGGCGGAAGTCGTTGAGATTGACTGCGGCGGTGGGAGTCAGCGTGGGTTCGTGAGCGAGGTCCGTCTGATCTGGCGGTCTCGCGGGGTGGGCGCGAGGAGGGACGCTGCACCACGCAGGGCACAGGTGGGAGAGAGACAAGAAGGGTGGGGGCGGTGGGACTGGGTAGGGGTGTAGGGATTCACGTACCTGCGCCATTGAGGTCGACGGGCTTTCCCTGGCCGCCGCCCATGATGATGGTCTCGATGTAGAGGGCGACGTAGAATTATCGTGATTGGTAGTAAAGCGCCATGCTGGAATTTGAGGCTAGGGCGAGCGACGAGTGAGGGTTCACGATGCACTGTAGGGGCGTGGCGAGAGCCAGAGAGGTGAGGGGAAGACTGACTTAGAGCACTCGATTGCCTCTAAACATGAGGAAGCATCGATCCTGCCTTTGACTTTGCATCCTCGCGTTATGTCTTAACTTATATCCAGAATTGAATTTGCATCCTGGCAAAGACTGCGGACGTTGAGAGACTTTAGACGTCTGGTGGTGGGGGTACGTCCCCAGCCGCTGATAGTGGATACTTCTGCGTTAGGTCACTGCAACATGGTACGCCTTAGGGTATGCCTGAGCTGCACTTGATGGACTTGATATCTGTATGGATACCCTCTTGTGTCGTGTTTTTGGTGTACGATCGACTTTCTCCAGCGCGAAAATGCGAGCGTGAAAATAGGTTGGGGGAAGATCGCGCTAAGACCGCTATTGGCCGCAGCGGCGTTGTTGGTTTGTTATGTACAATTATCCAAGGGGCGTGCCTAATGTGCGACCGTAAAGGGGCTTAATTACCAACACCCTTACATAACCATTCCCCACCGTCCGTGGTTATCACTAAGGAATCATATCAGTATAAGTTACATGCCGCGCGACATAGATGGCTGGAACAGGGGTACAGAACGGCAGGGCTACCACATTCAAGGGATTGACTCAAGCACAGTCAGTACACACCCACTTACCGCGTCCGTGCGAGGTTATTGACCCATCCAGCGGTCGGCAAGTGCCGCTGCTGAATGCAAGTTGTGGCAAACTTACTCTAGCAACCTCTGATCTACATTTTCGTCAAGTTGCCATTCCCCTATGTTCAGGTCTCGAGAATCCTCAAGGTGTCTTGCGCCCTATGCCAAAGAGCTGCTGACGGCATTCTCTATGAGGGGGGCTCTGTGAATCTCCCACGCACCTACTTCCAAGGCCGATTCTTATCCTCCTTCATCCGAATGAGCAGGTCGTCTGGGTCAGCTGTGAAGGCTGTTCCTATGCTCGTAGAATACTTCTTGGGGGAACAACGACCAGGAAGCCAGAATGAGAAACTTTGAGCATGGCACCAAGCAAGTCAAGACATGACTCGCAATGCATTTGACAGTCACGTTATGATTGTGTTTTGTGTGTAACAGGACAAGTAACCGATTACGTGCGGACATTGTAGCCCCATGAGTCGCGTCGCTGTTAAAGGGACGCGACGGCGAATCTACAGTAGCCGTAGAGATATGGCACAGTTGGATCCCTGAATTCCACATCATGGTGTCCCTTTCTGCTAGCAGGGCTCACCAGCTTCCTCGTGGAACTTTCTAGAATGATCAGCACGTGATCCAGCAACTCAACAACTGAGGACGAAGGGGAACCATGAGATGATCGAGACAGTCGCACAGTCCTTCAGAGCGAGGTCAAGAGCTACAGTGGGTGGTAGATAATCAGGCCGTGTCCAGAATTAGCCACTCCACCAGAATGGTATCCTTGCGTGACGGCCGTTTAGGTCAGAGCAAAGAAGTTGCCAAAAATTAGCCTCGAATAAGGGCAACGGCAAATGAAGTCAAGATGACCTGGATTGTACGACAGTACGATAGTGTGATGGGAAAGGTGGGGATGCAAATCTCTGGGCATGGGACACCAGAATACTCCCGTGGATTCTAGGATCCGTGATTGGTGTATTGGCGGTCCATGGCGGGGATTTCTAGGCCTTCCATCGGTTTTAGGGTTGGAAGGACACAAGGCCTCCTTTGGTGGAAGGTACTGCGCACACTTTTGGCGCCCTGTTGATGAATGGCAAATTCCGTTTCTGCCCCCCTGCTCCAGCGATCCATGTCGCGCGGTACGTAACGGACACCCATTTGCGAAGCGCGCTGTTATTAGTGTTCAAGCCCTTCGAGCTCCCTACTCCATCCCCTAGATCACGCCCTAGAATTTGGGCGCCGTGATGCCAGAACAACCTAGTTTGCCTTCTGTGAGTGGTTCTACCCCCCAACTAATAGATGCACTGCAACACCATATAACCTTAATCCCTCTTCCCCCTTGGCCCGTCCCGCCGCTCGCTAGCCGATAATCCGAGCGGCGCCGCCCTAAAACGGATCAATAAAGGGCGCTCGGGAGATACTGGACTGAAGAGTTTGTTAGCTTCTAATTGTGGGTCAGCAAATAATATCAATATCCCACTCCTACACAGCTATTCGTAATGGCTGGTCCGGGTTCTGGTTATGGAAGTCATAGAGCATTGCCTCACTACCAGGTATTGTGTCCCGTTGAGGCCGCCATGAAGGAGGGTAGGCTTTCCATTTGACGTAATATTCCAGTCTTGCCTTACAATATCGGTTCTTGGTTATCCGTGAGTTCTGTATCTTTCCACCATCTATTCTCGGCTTCCTGTGTTGACCTATTCTATTCTAACCTGTGGTTCGCCTTTGCGGGGGAGTCGGTCCGCGGCTGCTTAGCAGCTTACGGCCACGAAACCCTTTCATTGCGCCGAATCTCAGCATTTGGCCCCCCCGAAAGAGTCTAGCAGCACGTCTTTGTGCAGGCAAGCCGCCAAACAACTGTCGTCCAGGATTATACTGGATGACGCTATTGCTAATGATGACGTCGCCGAGAATGATCTCCTTGCCGTTGGGGTCAAAGGGAATAGCACCACTATGCCTACTATGAGGCCAAGCTTGACGTTTGGGAAACTTGCCTGACAATTAGCGGCGACTGCTGCCGCGTTGGCTTTTCCTATACCGGCATATGCGTGAGCACAACGTCGTGTCGGCCGATGTCTAGCCAATGTATACATAGATAAGTCGGCGGAGTTTGCCGAGCAGTCCAGGGATACAAATAGTTACATCATTTCGTATCGTAAGCCACAATGACAAATTTTCGAATCAACCTTTTCGTCCTTCAAATCAGGTCAAAGGATGCGTTCCGAATCTAGATACTTCCCAGAGTCTTATGCTCTCACAAGACGTCTTTCCGCTTGCCGAGTCACACGTAGCGTTAAGCTCTCATACCGTCACTGGCATAGCATGTGATAAAACTCTGGCACTTGGGAATCCCTGGTCTGCAGCCTCGTGATTCGCTCTCCTCTCCTTAGTCGGCGAGGCACATGTTCGATTCTCGGCGGCATAGTCCGAGCGTCCGAGGAAAATGTGCATCAGAGGGTGCCAGAGTAAGGCAATTTAGCTAGACACTTGACATTCAGCGGCGGCACTTGCCGACCGTTGGCTAGGTCAACGACCTCTCACGGACGCGCACGGACGCGCCAGTCAGTATGTGTGTACTGAATGTGTCTTAATTGGTCAATCCCCTGAATGTGATATCTCCGGCGTGTGCATGCGGGCGCATGGAGAATCGCCTACAGATGTACGTGGGCGCCTTCGCACTTCCTCTCGAGTCACAACTTGGGGCACACCCGCCGGGACAGATTTGGTGGCTCGAATGCTCGAGTTCAGCGGAGGTGACCCTCTTAGCACAGAGTTTGCTGGATGAGGTTTCCAGTTCTCTGCGGAGTTGACAATCTGCCTGGACATTACCCATGGGCGTTGAGTTTGCGATCGGTACTAAGCCTTGAAGTGGAGCCCTGGGCGGGGCCCTGAGCCGCGTCCCGTGTCCCTTTAGGGCTCGAGGATTTTCTAACCAATAAGGTTGGTTGTCCTGGCTCTTGGGCGTTGAGTAGATACCGCAAGCGAACCGTTGGAACATGCATGTACGACCAAGGAATGCGGGCAACTCCACATGCTGGTTGATGCCCATACTCCTTCTGAAAGCTTGAATATACGCCCACCAAATTATAAGCCAACATCTGTAATCAGGAAAAGATGGGTGAATTGGCGTGATGTCATTGGCTCAAGCCTAGGCCGACAGGACAATGTGGCGATAGTATGTCGCGTAACGTCGCTAGTTGCTCCAGGGGAACATTTAGCAGTAGAGCCAGGAGCAGCCCATTCAAAAAATGCCAAACCAGAATATTTCACTAAATCTTCAAATTTCGGTAATATTCAAAACGTTTTGCTGCGAAAACTCTTTATTATGCCCGACCTCGTTCCCACGCGACGCCATCGGAGGTGATATGGATCTTCTCCAGATCTTTCGCTTTGCATCCGTACACACGTAGGTGTCCTTGGTAAGGTTGTATTATATCCACCCCAGTCCCATCTCTTCTCGCAACGAAGGTATGGAGTCGGCCGTAAGGGCTGCCCCAGTTGTAGATATATTTGGGTGTTCGGTTGTATAGGTAGACTGCGCATTTATATATCTCTACCCATAGGTAGGTAGGCAGTCGGGCGCTTGCTCGCATTACTCTCCCCTTGAATTTGATGATGCGTCCTGCAGCTTCTGCGCCTCCATTCTGCGCGCCTGTGTAGGCTGCAGAGGTTTCCACTTTGATGCCCAACCGAGTGAGGAATCGATGTATTAGTCTGGTTCTCTCTTCCGACTTTCCATCAATTTCCCTATCGCATTCTACTATCTTTGGCTTAAAGGTGTATTGGCGGAGGACAAAACGGAGGAATTCCTCTAGCTTGATGACAATTTCTGTTCCTCTGTGTGATGTGAGATAGTAATCCCACATGTATCCAGAGCATCGGTCAACAATAAGCATCAAGCTGACCCTCCCATCTGGATCTCCAACAACATCGTGGAAATCAATAGCTAGGCGTTCTCCTGGTCTTGATCCCACGTCTCGAGGATATCGGCTTATTTGTCGTGTCATTTTTGATATGCCGCAGCCATCACATTTGGTGGTTGGTATGCCTTTAATCCGTACGCCTGTTGACGCGCGGACCAGCCGTTCAAGGGCCAGTGGTCCGGGATGGCCCATACGGAGGTGCCATCTCTGGGCTGATTCCTTTCTTGGCCGTCTTCGTGTTGTCGAGTTGTGTGCATTGATGCATGGTGGCTAGAGGAGACGCAGCAGAAAACCTACCCGAGCCTGAGCAAGATGGCCGTGGATATACTGTCGATTCCTGCAATATCTGCGGAGCCTGAACGACTCTTCTCTGGGGCAAAGATAACGATTACAGACTGTCGAAATTGACTTGGAAGTGATGTAATTGAAGCATTGGAGTGCCTGAAGTCATGGTTTGGGATACGAGATTTTCAGGGTGACGAGATTTGTATAGAAGCGGTTTAGTGATGGGGTCACGTAGAATATATTGGATGTATTGTTACACTGCTAATATATTGGGTTCTTGGCAATAAATACAATATGAGTCATGTTCATATTGGGTAATATAATATGCACCCCTTGATAATATAATAATATTGCGAGGGGGTCTATATTGCTAATATCATATTGTTTATATTATTAGTAATACTGCGTCCAGCTGCTCTCGTAGCTGTCTTATTTCTTCTGCCGTTTGCTGTCGTACCTGCCCAAGCTGCCCGTTCATCTATTCTCGCATCTGCTTAAGCTGTTCAGCTGTCTCCTCTCGCACTGCCTTGAGCTGGTGAGCCGTCTGTTCGTGCATGCGTCTAAGCTCTTGTGTCTTCTTCCGGTCTTCGGCTGCCTCGGTCCTGATCGAACGGATTTCCTGCTCGAGTCGTCCGAACGTCTCCAGCTGATCGCTCATCACCTTTGTCGCCTTGTTCTGGTTCTCCATCAACGCGTCCCAGAGCCTCTCCAGCATCTGCTTCTGTTCGCTCATGAGATGGCTCGATGTTTCCTGGAGCATCGTCCGGAGCACCGTCTGGGTTCGCGATCCATTGCTGCCCACCGCGCTCGCCGTGGCCTGTGATCCCTCCACCGCGTTGCCACGGTCGCTGTCCCCTGCTGCCATTTGCTCTGCGCAAGCATTCTTTGACGTTCCGGCCTTGCTTGCGGCTGCCTGTACATTTTTCTGGGCTTTCGCGGCTGATTTCGCGGCTCTCGTCGCGCGACGCGCCTCGGCCTCCGAACCCCCACCCGTGACGAGGATCTCCTCGGTGGTCGCGTCTATCTCGCGATGTAACGCTCACGGCAGTGCCAGCCCCTTCTTTAGCGTAAAGAGGGTAAAGAGGGTAAAGAGGATAAAGAGTCGTCGCGCGCAGTCCTTGCCTTAAGTAAGTAAGTGTGTGGAGTGGATTGCAACCCTGCGCAGGGCTATCCGGTCCGATGACCCTGTCACTCACATTAGTCATGTAAAGTCTAGCAACCTGCCAAACGGGAACCCAGCTTTCATTGAGATAAAGCCTTTATTATCTGTTTGCCTAGGTTTAAGTGCTTTGTTACAGATTTTTACCCTATGAACGATAAGGCAGCTTACAAAGGAGGGAGATGGCAGGCCACCTTGTCGATCTGATTCAAGAGATACGATGCTCGTATTGTGTAAGGTTGGTTTAGGCATGAAGAAGGTGTTGATAGTGCCTATTATTATATGGTGGTGATGTTACTGTTGGATTAGGTTGCTTTGATGCCTCAAATGTGTTTAAATTGCTGTGTTCTTCTGGATCGGGTTGAGTGATCACCTATCGAGTTGTTATAAAGCTTGCACACATACATGAAGAACTATGATATGGGAGAGTAAATCCCAATGGACTTTAATAGAAATGCGCGATAAGAAGCAGCACTACTAAACTCAGCCTTAAAACAGAACTCAACCTCAAACAGACCAAATGGCTTCCAAGAGGACTGGAGCCCATGACGAATCCAATAACTCATTTGTGGCCCGTCCTATCCTCCAGAGCCTTAAGCAACAACGTGTTTGTTAAGAAAGAGAGTCTGCACATTGCATAACCCCTTCAAACCATTCGTGCCCCATTCGACTCCCACGCCACTCTCCTTGTGCCCGCCGAAAGGTGCCATGGGAGAAAGATCGAAGTGGGTATTGATCCACACGCTTCCAGCCTGGATCTCCCTCGCAACCTTCTCCGCCTTCTTGAGGTCGTTACACCATACAGAAGCACCCAGTCCCATCAAAGAATCGTTGGCTCGAGCAATGACATCTTCTTCATCCTTCCAGGACAGAAGGGGGACAATTGGACCTAGTGATTTAATCGTTAGCTACGCTCCAGCGAACAATTGAACAGTTCCTTACCAAAAGGCTCCTCAACGACAATGCGAGAATTCTCCGGTGGCCTGTCAATGACCGTTGGAGTGATGAAGTATCCCGGAGAGGGATCAATCTTGCCGCCTGTAGCAACCTTCCAGCCCTGTTTTTCGATGTCTTCGAAAAACGTCTTGACTCTTTCGTACTGCATAGAATTCTGCAGGGGTCCATGGCTGATCCCTTCTTGCGATCCATCCCCTAGAGTATAGTTTTTGACGTGCTTGACCACGGCATCTCTGAACTGTTCGTAAATAGACTCATGGACATAGATGCGTTTCAGGTTAATGCAGATCTAGCGTGGACAGATGTGAGCCAGAAGTCTTGCATGAGGTATTCAGCAGTCAAGGGCTTCTTCGTACCTGGCCCGAGTTAAGGAAGGCAAAGAAGGCGACTTTCTCTGCAACATTATCCACGTCAACATCGGGGAAGATAATAGCAGGGTCGTTGCCGCCCCTAGTCACAGTTAGTATAACTGAACAGCGCAAAAGAGCTTATTAGAACGAACAGCTCAAGGGTAACTCGCTTCAGAGTTTTTGCCGCGCTCTGAAGAACCAGCTTACCCGTTGTCGTAGATCCTGTGAAGCTGATCTTGTCGATGCCCGGGTGACTTGTCAACCACGGACCAAGCCTGTCATCTCCGCTCAAGGACTGCACGACTCCGGCCGGGAAGAACCGCTGGGCCAACTCGACGAGTTTGAGTCCGCAATAGGGAGTAAATGGACTGCCGCTCAATCAGTACGTCATGCCGGCATTCAGAGTTTGGGGGAAACCGACGAAGGTTTGATGATGACCACATTCCCAGTCAGCAACGCCGGGGCGATCTTGCTGGCCGCTAATAGAAGTGGGAAGTTCCACGGAATAATAGCACCAACAACGCCAATCGGGATGTAGCGTGTGATGACAGTCCGCTTGTCGTCGTCTTCGATTACATCTTCGGGAAGCTCGATATGCGCTAGCCCTCGAATCCATGCGATGGCAGCATCGGTTTCCGCATGGGCTTGAGGGATCTGAACAGCGAGACTTAGTAAAATTGGATCGGTTAGGGAAAAGGACGGGGAGACTTGCAGGCTTCCCCTGCTCGGATACGAGGAGGTCTCTGAAATCCGTCTTGACTTGCTCCACGGCGTCCGCAAAAGCAAGAACAGCGCCACGGCGGTCTTCGTATGAGACTTTTGACCAAGTTCTGAAAGCCTTCTGGGCCGCATCAACGGCACGATCAAGGTCATCCTGGGTAGCGACAGGAACCTCTTCTTTTGGCTGCAAATTGGCAGGATTGACGCCGTGACGGGTTTCCTTTGTTGTGGAGAGTTTGCCGTCAATGATTTGAGCAAAACCGCCTGTAAAGTCCAAACTTGGACTTTCGGCAGTCTTAGAGCCGTCAATCACTGCGGGAGTCATAATGGGAAGAGAGAAGCGAATCCGATAGTGAGTTCGCGGGGGTGTGAATTGGCCTCATTCACTTTCAGTCGGACACTTGAACTATATACTCGCCCTCTCTCCCACCAACAAAACACGAGCAGTCTTGTCTGTCCCGGGTTCCGAAGATGCGGGGGGATGGCGCTGTGGTATGAACAACGTCCGAGCACCAGCGGGAAAGATTCAACCAACAGCCCAGCCTGACTTGAAGTGCGTCAAGATGACGTGGGCTGCTGTTATTGACGATGGCACATGTGCTATGTGTGTGAAAGTTTCGAGGGCGCCACAGTTTCGGCTTCTGCCGTTGTCTGTGAAGCAGAAGACATGTGACTTGACTCTGCCTTAGACCCAACAGCGTGAATGAAGTAATACCGTGAAAATTTGATAGAGTTTTATTGTGGCATTATGAGCTATACTTAGGTAGAACAGGAGCTTTTGGGGTGTTCCCATGCGCTTGCATAATTATGTGCGGGTATTTGCTTCGAGTGGTCCAAGGCAGGCTCTATTCGAGATTCTCGAATGGACCCTTGCTTCGAGTATTCTAGGCTAGGGTCTGCTCGAAGCTCTCGGATGGACCTTCGCGGTCGAGCACTCGACGCTCAGGTGGTATTCGACGCGCTCGGTTAGCCCTTGGTTCGAATATCCTAGGCTAGAGGGTGATCGAGACCCTCCAATGGTCTCTTGCTTCGGATATCCCCAGGCGGGGTTTGTTCGAGACTTTCGGCTGGTCGCTTTTCTAATCTGGTGTGAGCCTAGAACTAGTCCCACTCCCACCGAGCCACGTGTGTATCGAGCCACTTAATGCTTAATGCGCCCGAGGCTCAAAAGAAATAGCCACATTATGTCCCTGCTCAGGGTACTTCCATCCGAGGTGCGACAAGCGTTCAATACCAAGGCGAATACAAGCTCCATCGACCCATGTCCCAGTCAAACGACCAACTGAACCCAGCAATTAGGTTGTACCGCGGGTTCACCAACACAGCAGCAATCGCTCCAACCCATCTAAGGGCGTATCGGACCTCTGCTTTCGGCAATTCGTAGCTTCAGTGCTTGTGATAATCTAACAACTCTAAAAGAGGACTGGGCCAGATGGGTGAAACGAGCTTGGCAAACTGGGGAACAGGACAACGATGGCTGCCAGAATAATGCACACATCTACTAACCAGATCTGTGCTGTACATGGGCGGAGAATTTTGTCAATATACCTTGGATACGTCCAGTTGTGACAGTATCTCTAAGTTTTGAGGACTATCGCCACGGGAAACAGACTTGTACTCCGAATTGAGTCGCCTCCTTAATATTAGCGTGGTTGATCCTAGCGTTCACATTGGTCGAATTTAGGCTGATTTTACGGTCTGAGGCATATCATATCGTTGCTCGTCATGGGTGCGCGAAAACGGGTAGATCAAATCTAGAAAGGAGCGACACCAAACATCAACCCCCGTCCTTTGAGAAGACTTGTTCAACGCATGGTCAATGCAACCTCCTTCGTCGTAGTCACTACATAAAAAGGTGGGTTTGTTTGCTCAATTCCATGTATTTTGCCCTTTAATACAATAATAACTTCCAGGCCAATGCCAATATTTGACAGTGGTAAATTTGGTTATCATGACGCAATCAAAATTCATTACGTTTCTTACGCCCACGCGGCCTTGATAAGATCGGCGGCCTTTTCGCCGATTCCATACGCCGGCATCTGGGTGTGGCCGTTGTTCACCTTGGGCATGATACTGCAGTCCGCAACTCGGAGGCCCTTGACACCCTTGACGACGAGCTTCTCGTTGACGACGGCATTGGGGTCCAAGGCCTTGCCCATAGCGCAAGTACCGGAAGCATGGTAGCCTTGTAAAGTCAGCATTGAATCCAGTGAAGATTGCGAATAATGCATTTTTAGGTGAGGCGAAGTCACTTACAAGTCGTCGCATTCTCCTTAACGTAAGGGATCCAGTCCTCCCTGGTCTTGTAGGTGTGGTGGGTAAGGTCCGAGGGCCAGGAGCCCTTGATGACATCCTTGGTACCAGCACCCTCAGTGATGATTTCGTTGGCGAAGCGACAAGCCTCGGCAAGCACCTCCACATCCAGCAGGTCGGAGAGGTAGTTGCAGTCCACAACGGGGATGGCCGTCGCGTCTGCATTTCGGAGTGTAACGGTTCCACGGGACTTAGGGGAAAACAGCTCGGCGATGATGCCGAAGGCATGCTTGCCGTCGATGGGGAACTTGTCGAAATCTTTCGGTCCACCGTAGCACTCGGTGTTGAAGAGCTCGATGTTGGGCTGGCTTGGGGCAAGACCCATGGGGTCGCGGCCCTCTTTCCGGGGAGCCTCGTTCCAGACCTTTGAATCGGTAAGACGCTGGTCCAGGCGAACGAAGGCTAAGACGCCAAAGGGGAAAGTGGACAGGAAGCCAGCCTTCTGCTCCTTCCAGAGGGCATACGACTTGGCGAGGGCATCACCGTGGTACACAAGGTGGTCATTGGTGAGACCGGGAATCTCAGTCTCGTAGAACATGAAGACGATCTGTAGTAAGTAGAAGTCAGCGGAGTTTTAGAATGTGGTCTATAGACAAAGACATACCAAGTGATCCTGGAGGTTCTTTCCCACGCCAGGAAGATCCACAAGCATAGTGATACCATGCTTCTCAAGCTCGTCCTTCGCGCCAATGCCGGAGCGATTCAGGATGTTAGGGCTGCAGTATGCCCCACCGCTAACAATAACCTCCTTGCGAGCCTTGAGCTCGACAACACTACCATCAGCTTTAACAGCCCTAACGCCAGTGGCCTTGAGCTCGCCATTCTCATCCTTCTCAATAATAACCTTATCGACATGATTCTCAACAAGAAGCTCCAGATTGCCCTTATGCTTAGGGATGGTCACGAAGTCGGCACCAGTGGTGCGGAGACCCTTATACACAGTCCTCGTAGCATAGCCGCAACCATGAGGGTTTCGTCCATGGGTAAACATATCATGATCTAGAGGAAGGCCCTTGGAGATCATGGACTGCTTAATCATATCGGAGATGGGAGCAAGGTCATGAAGCTCAGTGTGGAGGTGGCCATCGTAGCCGTGAGACTCCTTGTCGGCCTCAAACCAGTCCTTGCCGTGGAAGGTCTCTGCCTAGGGTTTTGACAAGTTAGTTATTCCAAACAATGAAAAGGAAACAACGGTATCAAAAGCAATGTGCGGGGAGCAGCTATGTGGAGATTCGAGTGCCGGGCAGTTGGTGGTGGGAGGCATACCTTGGACATGTACTTGAAAAACTCATCACCACGCCAGCCTTCAAGATCCCAATCATCGAAATCCTGTCTAACACCACGGACGCACAGCGTACCGTTGCATCCCGAGCAGCCACCGAGGAACTTGCCTCTGCTCAGTTTGATCTGGCGGTCATTGACACCAGCACCCTTCACAGAGATGATATTCCAGTCCGTCTCCTTGTCAAAGTTCTGGGACCAGCTAGTCAGGAAAATAAAGTTAGAAAGAAGGTGATTGCACTGGGTATCTTGGGCAATACGCCAGCTTACCCTCCAACCATGTGGACGTTTTCGAGGTTCTCATTGTGCCGGCCAGCCTCAATGAGGAGAACCTTAGTGGCGGCATCTTCGGCAAGCCGCGCTGCAACTACGCAGCCGGAGGTGCCGCCACTGTCAAAATAAGCTGGTTAGAAACCGAGAAGGACGGAAATTCGGACTGTCGATCACAGTCAGGGAGCCAATGGGAGACTTACCCACAAACAATAAAGTCATATGTCAGATTGGAAGCAGCCATATTGTCTTAGAATACTCTATGCAGGACAACGATAGAAGCAGGATTTTGGAGCTGTCTCCGGGAAATTACTGCTGGGACTTCTTAGGTTCCAGAGAAAAGAATGCCAAACGGGGAGAAGGGCTGTTTCCCAGGTATAATATCATCCTGCGATAGAGTTGATGGTCGCCTCCCCGCTACAACACCTAATGGCCCTTGCCAGCTGGATCATGCAGAAGGTGGTCCATGCAAGCAAGCGAAGCATCATCGCTCACGGCTCCGCGGATCCATTCGATCCCGTCTTTCTACCCAACTTCACCTGCGCCAACGGGATTTTGAGTTTCGAGTGTCTACGCATGCTGTAGTTGGGCAAATATAGTGGATTGCGCACCAAGCCGCTGACTGAACGTTGACGTTTTGCTGCACCTTCAATTTGGGGAATCCGGGGTCAGTGGGATATGGCTCTCGGAATAGGCAAGGCATCCGCAGGCATGGAGGCTGGTGCGGCTGTTCTGTGATTCGCGGCAACACTCGGGGATCTCATCACCCGACGGAAAATATTTGCCGTGCCTCCCTGTCGATCGCCGGCCCCTTGAGCCTCCCCGACAGCGCTACTTTGATCATGTGAAGATGGACGTGGTTTATAACAAACCTCTCACCCCAACTAACCGATTTATGGCTTCTCTGAGCTCGATTGCAGGTATGAATGGTTCAGCGGGCACACGCACATGCTCGTTACGATCCCTTATTTTATTGACTTAAGGTTTACTCCGCCAACGCAACTCGCCGAATGTGGCTCTCTTGACATCAGCAGCGGCGGTGAGGAGAACGATTGGCTCAAAAAATAATGCTCCACTATAGTCCTGGCGGGGGACATGTGCTAAGAGGCAGACAAAGTCTTTCTAAAGAGAAGACACGCATTGCATCATTCCACGGGAGCGTGGAGCAAATGTGCGTTATGGAGACTCAATTGGCTTGTGTATGTTGCCGCGTTCTATCAGGACTATGAGGGCATATGCACGCCGGCGGACCTCAAAAGCGGCGAAGAGATCGAGAATGTAAGTATCTCCGTTCGCGTGATAGCATCGGTGTTGCTCCGGCCATCCGTTTGTTTGGGGACGCCAGGACCCCACATCCTTGGAGCCTTTCACTACTCTATGTGTCACATATCGGGATATCGGATTTCTACGGCTATTGCAACAGTGAAGCTTTCCTTATATCATCATAGGCGTCCATCGCCACCTGCCTCGTCATCGGCCTAGTTTTTCCTTCAGTCAGGTCAATAGCTAGATAAAGCCAAAGACCCCGAAGCATCCGGAGCGTCTCGGCTGTCCGAGGTCATCCGAGGTCATCATCATTTTCTTCGTCTATAAGACTGACCCAAAGACCCTCATTAGATAGGAAGAAATCAAGAACTTTTCACACATATGATCATTTCCATCTGCTAGATGCAACACTATGTAATTCACCAGAGTCTCAGCCTGGGTGTTTCACATGTCATGGCCCCTCCATAGGAAAGACCAGTTTCCTTCCTTTCTGACCCTCTGCACGAAAAAATTGGTACCTATGTACAGCACCTTGGGGCCTAACCCTGACCCCCAATGTTACCACATAAGATTGACATGCTACGTATTTCGCCTCGCATGGCGAAGTACGGGGCCAAGGCTGCACTATCGGCTCACCCAAGGGGCAGACAATAGTAATGATCGAGGCCGTCCGTATAGCAACGGAGCTAGCCCATAATGACGGCCAAGGGTTCAGCTGAGATCACTTTAACGACCTCACAAAGAAGCTTGCCTTGTGTTCTTGGTCTTACTTCTATACCACAAGTTGTAAGGCGATATCTATGGTAGTCTCGTAGTTGACCTCCTTGCAGCAATGGGGATCTGATCATCTATCCCTGAGACGGGGTGTGGTGTTGCGCAGAAACTCTACGATGCTACTGATTTCACGCCGAAACTGTCCGCACATATCAAGATAGGCTAACAAGTTGCTGAGCGGACCTAGCCTGCAGTTCAGCTTGATAAATTGACGTCCCGGCTCGAGCATTAGAGGAGATGTAAGATAGTAGAGCCTGGAGGTCTATCTAAGGCTTTGTTGCCCCCTTGGCGAACCTTTCCGGTGCTGACGATATGCAGGCTTCTGCTTCGGCTACGACAGAAAGCGAAATGCTCCGGTAATCGCTGATGCTTCAATCTTTCGACCCTGTTGATGCACTTGACCAGGAGCGCCACGCATGCATGCATCCAGACGTTGGAGGCGTAGTCTGCTCCGGGTGCTACCGTCGCCGTTAGGCCACCGAAGGGGACAAGCCCCTGAGGCGCTTCAACGCCATGGCTGCCTCGAGCCCTCTAGTTGCCGCTCCGGCGGCGGACAACAATGTTGTTTTCCATCGCAACACAAACGAAATCTGAGGGACAAGGTAGCATGCACATGCCAGTCCGTTGTGTTGCGACGTAAAACGGAGTGGTGTTTATACAGTAGAGTTCAAAGCGCCGTCTCGCCACCATCTACGCCCACTCCTTTAGTCCATTCTCCGATTAATCTGTATCTTTCCGGTTTCTCCTGTGTCGATGTTGCACACAGTCTTAGCCGTTAGGATCAACCAGGGGTAAGGCAGAGCCTGCTATATGTACGGCGGACTGCTCGCCCTTCGTAATATACAAATTCTGTTAGCAAACTTTGCTTTCCTATGCACTTCGTCCAAATTGACGACCATGGACCTCTCAAAGCTCACCAGAAAGACCCTCCAGGTCTCCCGCGGCTTCAGCTACACCTACTACACCTCCCCCGCCCAGGACTCCAAGCCAACTCTCATCCTCTTCCACGGCTGGCCCGACACGGCGCGGCTCTGGGCCGGTCTCATCAACGACTACCTCCTCCCGCTTGGCTATGGCATCGTCGCCCTAGACTGCCTTGGCTACGGTGGGACCTCCAAGCCCACCGACCTCAGCTCATATGCGTGGCAGCATATGACGGCCGATGCTGTCGAAATTCTCGACGCTGAGAAGCTAGCCACCGTCATCTCCGTCGGCCACGACTGGGGCCATGTGCCAGCGACTGTATAACTTGTACCCTTCGCGTGTATCCGGGGTGATCATGGTGAACCTCGCCTACATCCCTCCAACCGGGCATTTCGACCTTGACGCGGTGAACAAGGTGACCAAAGAGGTGTACGGGTTCGGTATCTACGAGTACTGGCACTTCTTTACCGCCAAGATGCCGCGGATATTATGAACCAGAACCTCGAGTCCGTATATAGCGTGGCATTTGGGGACCCCCACACCTGGCTCGAGAATTCGACCAGCCCCGGCGGGATGCGCAAGTTTGTCACTGAGGGCCGCATGCAGCCGACCCTTCCGTACGCGACGCCCGATCACAAGGCAGATGTCATGGACCGATTTAGCAAAAATGGTGGTTTTGACGTGCCGAGTGGTTGGTACAAAGCGTTAACGTTCGCTGTACAGAATGAGGCAGATAAACTGGTGGATGAGGAGGCAAAGACGGTCAAATTGCCCGTTTTCTACTGGGGCGGAGAGCAGGATTTTGTGTGCAGGCCCGCCGCACTACAGCTGAGCGTTGATGCAGGGTTGCTGCCGAATGTCAAGAGTGTGACAAGGGAAGGGGCGCATTGGGCACTCCTCGAGAAGCCGGTTGAGTTTGGTCAGGATGTGTTGGGCTGGTTACAGGGAATTTTTAGCTAGGTGATAACCTCCACTAGAAGTGGATCAAATTGCCGCAGTGCTATTCTCCCCAGAAGTGCAGTTTGTTGATTACCTGCGACGTTCAAACCCCGACGATACATGCAGTCATCTAAAAGTCCGATCCAGGAACGCCTTGGCTGGTTAACGATTCAAAGAAGACTGCATGACTTATCTGCTTCATAAAGAACGTAAGTTCCTCACGCTACGTTGCCGGGAATAGGAAGAGACCGCAATGAAACTGCAGCGTCGGTGGGCTCGTATTATCCGTCCCTTCCAGCTTGAGCCCGCAGCTTAGCTGAACCTTGCGAACTGAGATCTCTTGGTATGATGTAGAGTTTGATTCCACTCCGGAGCGGACCCCGGGGTTCTAAGGGTATTTGCATGGGTCCGCCGCGTCTTGACGTCGCTAGAACACCGGCTGTGATTAACCACTCAGGTCCAGCGTTTGAGGTTCAGTAGGGCACCCCCCTGAAATTACGTCATTCAATTCCTATAGTATGTGGTTGGATGTTGACTCGCGTATTGCGGTGTACCTATGTTGTCTACCGAAAGGGATCAACGTTGGATCTTGCTAAAACAACGCTGTATGTATAGTACGTGGCCGCTATGCTATCAGGCAGGCCTATAAAACCATCTACGTCCCCTGTCCTCCAATCATCCAAGCTAAAGAACTGAATATCATCAAAATTGCCTTCCTGTGCGGAGGAATCAGAGTCCTAGCTATCCTCTTCGTCCCGGTATACCGCGTTCTTATTTGTGAACTGCTTCTTGCCAACCTTGAGCTCATTAAAATGTGACAAGATTCACGGTTTAACCACTTTTCGATACCCGACTGCACGTACCCGCTGGTCTTCCCAAGTGTATCCTGTTGAGCCCTGCGTGTCGTGTTGGATGCCGACGCCCATTGTCGCAAGTGTCCCAATGTAGGTTACCGGACCAGGAATACTTGCGTGGCCGTCCAGGGCAAGACCCTTCTCTCCTTTCGAGCTAAAGAGTCTGTTGCTCAGCACAAGAGCTCTAGTCGCCATGTATACAAGCCCGAATACGTCGTAAACAGGCCTTCAAGCACCCGACGGATTGTCTCTTGCTCAGTGAGGCGATAGAAGACATCTTGGAAAAGCTGTATCTATACACCATCGATTTTTCTGCCCTGATGGTCCCTGAGCCCTTCCTATCTGCTTCGCTATGTGTGTCCAGGTGCTCTAGGAACTTAAGCAGCCCTACTCCTTATGCGCAGAGGTTTTTGACTCAAATTACATGTTTTTATTTTTGTCGTCCACATAAGCGACCCCTATTAGGGTCGCCGTCGGATTCTAGTCAAGTGAAACGATACTTTTTAGGGTTGCTGCGTAGGTTAGGTTGAGAGGCGGTGCGTCTGATTGGCCAGACCAAGGGTGGAAGGGTAAGACGTACAGGAAAGAGGCTGAAGTAGGACATAGCAATTGGGTCGTCCATGCAATACAAATGTCAAGAGAAAGGAAAAGGATTACGGAAGCGAGTATAAAAAAGAAGGGGGAATAATTAAAATAAAAAAATAAAAAAAAGAGCGAGAGAGAGAGACGTCTGCGCGCGTGATATTCTAGGACATTGTCCAGTCTCGTTTCCCAGTCAATCTCGGTCTCATTGCCGATTCACGTCGTAAGTTTTTTGTCGGCAAGATAACCCGCGTTCTAGCCGGGCCTTGTGTGCCGTGTCAAGGCCCGGCTGGGTTGAGTTGGGCGATATGCTGCAGCCCGTTCAAGCCAAGTTCAGCTCTCGGCGTGCGCTATCTACAAAGTCGCCCACGAGGGGTTTCGGCTCCGTCAGGATGAGGAGAAAAAGGCAGATTGTTTCTGTTATCTATTATTATGCTCAGTCAAGTCTATTGACTTATCCGGTGCATTTGAGTTCAGGTAGGGCTCTCAGCCGGCCTCACCAGGGTTCAAGTCCTAGGCCCTTTGAGCCCCGACTTATCAGCTCACAATTTCACAATCGGACAATCATAATAACTTGAGACCCAGAGCAGCTCGTGATTCGCAGTGTATTGCGCATTTCATCATCTAATTTGTGTCGATGGCTCGGAGATATCTCTTCAACATAAAACCAGGGTCGCCACCCTGGACCTTGGAGCCGTCATTGCCATCGCCTCGATGCCTGCTTGACGCTGTTCCAATTCCCGTCCACTCATATCGAAATGTACATACATACATTCCTATATATTCCCTTATACACCCTATATATCTCCCTTTCCCTCACGATTCCACATAAAAAAAAGTTTGCGCATCTTGCAGCCGTCACAACACCCAACGAAGTCGAGCCCTTCGACGGTTGGTGGATAAAACGAAAGCAGACGAGAGAAAACGTCTGAATGATGCCTCAGGCTTGTGGCCAGGGTATCCAAGAAGAAAGTGGAGAGTAAAACGGTCCAGAAATCAAACCCGCCATGCTATGCCTCGCAGGGCTGATCCTAACGTCTAAACCAGTTGCAAAGTAGCTTGTGGTTGCCCAATTGCGTCTGGGTGGCTGTTTCTTATAGAGTGTGTTGGACCGTCCCCATCACCCGGAGAAGACGATGAATAATAATCGTCTTTGCTCAGACGTGTGAGAATGTGGGCGTAGTCTTTCGCCCTATTGAGGCTGAAAGCCTGAAACAGCCTGGACGAACCGGGCATTGGCAGACGCATGGTGGGATATTCCTATCCGGCCTCTGAGTAGTTGGCCGAGTGGTCCCAAGAGTGCGAGAGTGAAGGAGTCTGCGAACCCTATCGGCAACGTGAATCTCGAGTTACCCCGCAGGGCGTTTGACTGGCGCTACTCACATGAGGGTTGGACTGGTCGTAGGGGCTGGGAGCGTTGAAGTCCATGGGCGGCATGTAGCCGTAAGTCATGTAAGGGGACAGCCCGTCATCGCTGGGGTACGACTCCCGCTTGATGACGTCGCTAAAATGTGTCATCGAGGGAAGCATCATGGGCACGGTGGAAGCATTCAGGTAGTTGGGGTAGGCGTCAGCGGTAGTCATGGTCAGGTAGGGCTGAGTGGAGACGTAGGGAGCGAGGAGGATCTCATCGGGAGCCGGGTAAGTCGAGTATGTGAACTGGGAAGGGCTGTTGGACCGGGCCCGGTCGTCGTAGGTGCCAGGGAAGAAGAGATCGTCAGTCGGCTCCCTGGGGGGAATGAACTGGCCCTGAGAGATGACAGGCTTGGCCGGGGTGGCGGGCTGCGACTTTTGGGACTTGGAGGACGAGGAAGATCGCTTCGACTTGGTGGTCTTCTGGGGCTGCTTATCGGACTCGGCATCATCAGAAGAGCCAGCACGGCGCTCGAGGTCCTCGAGACGTCGCTTGAGCTTCTTGCCTACAAACGGGCATCCATGTCAGTTCTGGTTGAGAATCACCTTGGAAGGAATTTCCGGGAGTCAAGTCCGGTGGAAGTCAGGCTCCCGGAGTTAGCGGAGACAACATACGGTAGTTGCGCTGAGCAATGCGATTCTGTATCCGTCGGCGCTCTGCAAGGTCAGAGATCTGGGTCCAGTCCTCATCAGGGTTAGCAGAGGCACTGCTGGTACCCGAGTAGCGTCTGCGAGGAGGAGCTTCCGCGTAGGCGGGTAGTGACATGAACATTGACATTGTGAAAGTGGTTGTAGCTGGTTGAGTAGAAGGGTTCAAGTAGGTAGGCGTCGTGGCAGTGGTACTTGTCGTTGTTGTCAACGACGGGGCTCTGGACGGCCCGGGCACGATTGGGACAATGGGTTGGGTATCTGTCTGAACTGTTTGTTGATGTTCCCGTTTCTGTCTGCCCTCTTCCGTCTGTCTGTCTTTATATGCTTGATATCGACCGGCAATAATGGCTGGAGGTTTGTGGTGGTTGGCATATATGGGGGGTGTTGGGCCCGGGGGCGGGCGTGGGGGGACGATGAAAGAGTAAAAGCAACCTGAAGCTCCTGAAAGCTAAGCCGGACTCGGCGACAGACGGAAAGTGAACGGTAAGTGGGGGGGAAAGAGGCTGCAGATTAAATATCCCAAGAGCTGCGGAAGCAGGCACAAGGGAAGGACCCAAGCACACCTTCTGCACACCACCCTGGACTCACTACTACTGGAAAGGGAAGTAGGCGACTGCGCCTGTTTATGGGATGTAAAGCGGAGTCTCTCAGCCACTACTATATGGAAGAGAGTCGGAGGCGGCGTGTCGTCATGGCTCAGCAATGAGCGGGCGAGATGGGCGAGGAGAATAACGGGCTTATGTCGATGGGCGTGTGGGTGAACGAGCAATAAATAGCACCGGCCAAAGCGTATCTTTGATACAGCGCGACGTCGTTGCGTTTGTCGAATGATTCTTGCTATCGATGGTTTGCATATATGCTGGGGTATTTGGGCTGCTCCAGTAAGAGACGAAGGAGATGGAGGTGACAATGATGGGATCGAGGCTGCGGTCTGTGGACACGGTCTAGGCTCTCCCTAAAGCAGTCTGGCGTCTCGTTGCGGGCGGCACGAGTCACGAAGAAGCGCCTCGATCTCCGGGACTCCTCATCACGGGGGTAAGAGATTGAAAGACCCAGAAAGAGGCAGTGACAAGAGGCGTTACGGACTCAGATGGCAGAAGTGCTGCCCAATGCGGCTCAACATCGGATGACACGTGCCTGGGCTATGTTGGGGGGGCGTGTGATATGGAGAAGTGGGGATGGAGTTCTTTCCATCGGTCAACTGGGCCTTCAATAGGTAAGATCCCCGAACCCCTCCTCAAGCTGACGACTGGGCACGTAAACTATGGCGCAGCTTAACTTTTAGAGCGTCGTGTGGCGCGAGTCAGTATCGCACAGGCGAAGCGTGTGCGTGGAATCGTAGCATGCTCGACCGAAGGGATGTGAGGGTGGCGGTGACAAGGCGAACGCAGCCATGGTGGAAGATTGCCAATTGGTGATCTCACGGGGTGAAGAGGAGGCGATGGAGATGGTAGGTGAGCACAGAACGCAGAGCCGGGTGGGTTAATACTCGGGGCCTCATAACCCTTGCTTGTTACGGTTCAGTACTGGTTTGCTGTCTCATAAAGTACCGACACGAAGAGCCAGGAAGAGGCGGAAGCCATTAGGTTCACGGGTACCCGTGGATCTACTTTTCGTACTACCATTATATCGCAGCTACGTGACGAAAAGTCTGCGAAGGACATGACTCCATCCATGCGCTCGCCTATCAGCTAGACAAGGAACCCTTTTGGAGCCGAATACAGTTCGGTCCAGATGGCCGGATTACGGCTGTTTGTTAGCTCACCCGGATTCTTTAGCTTACCTTCAGGCTTACCCAGACTTACTATTACTGGACTGCACGTACGAACAAGCATGGCATGCCGCTCCTCGACATGATTAGAGTCGATTCTTGCCAACGATCCTTTTGCATAGCTTTTGCATTCCTCAGTGGCGAGACGGAGGATGATATACTTGGGCAGCATAGGAACAAAACAGCGCGGCGGATCGTTGCGTCGCCTGTATGAATGCTGTTGCGAATGCCGTCCCTTCCTCCTACTTGCTGCTTTGTCCATAGTATGCGAACAAGTGGTGCTCTGTCAATGCCACCCCGCCTTCTCTCGTGAGGAACAACTAGCTATCAACGGCCGAGCAACAAGCGGTGCCACAGACACCAACGGTCGGGCTGACTTCTACCAGTTTTAGCACCCCATCATGGGCTCGCCGAACGAGGAAGCGTTTAAGGAACGCGTTTCGGAGTTTGAGAAGAAGTACCTGCCGCATTATGTCAACGAGGTCGGGATACGTCGAGACATTCTGGCTGGAACCATACAAGGAGAAACTTGTCAAGTCATGAGTCGAGAAACACACCCATTTCGGTAATACAGCCACGTCTCAAGTTGAAGGTATACATGCACTACTTAAATCTCATCTGAACAAATCTACATTGGATCTCTTCGTGGCCTGGAGTGCGATGAAGCACGCATTGCTCAACCAGCTTTCAGACTCGAGATCCAATCAAGCGCTACAGCAAATTCGGGTTCTGATCGAACTTTCGGGACAGTTGTATAGCACAGTACGCGGCTGGGTATCACATAAAGCCCTGAGAAAAGATGAAGAATAGCGGAAGTTGTTGAAGAGAGAAGCCCCCCCTCCCACAACGTGTACTGGATCTTTTGCTCTATCCCACGGGTTGCCTTGTCTGAACACTCTGAAGTCTCTGCTCGAGCAAAACAGAGTCCTTTTGCTTGAGCACTTTCACCCGCATTGATATTTAAAGCGTGACACGGGTCCACCACCACTTCCAGAGCCTCGTCAGCGTATTGAACCCACGGTGTCAAACTCTAAAGTTCCGAAACAGAGTACTAGAAAAGAGCCCAGTTCGTTTAAGAGTGTCGATACGACTATAAAAGCGCCACCTACATGCAGCAGACGCCATGCCGTTGGCCACACCAGGGCTTCACGCGCATGTCCCTCGAGGTTCGAAGAGTTGCTCTCGCGAGGAGGAACAGTTTCAGTGCCACTTTCGCAGTCGGCCGTCACACCAAACCCAGACCCAGACACCATCGCGGTGCACTGAGTCCAAGCCTCAACTGAAGTGCCGGGGAGAGATGCAGCGGCGTTCATGCGAAAATTAGATCCACGGGTACACGTGAACCTAATGGCTCCCAGTGACAGATGGCTGCTTAGTCATATACAATTTTCGCTCGAATGTCCGGGTTCAGCGTCGCTCGACCATCTACCACATCTACCCACTTTTGGGGTGCTACGTAGTGATTACAGAATATGGGATCCTAGCTGCGGCGGCGCATAAAAAACGAATTGCCGGCACCTACGGAGCATCAGCGCTAACCCCTTCGTCATCAAATATCATATGTCAGCCAAAACTGCCGACCATCGGGCGGAGTCCCGGCTCAGCCCTAGAAGTGGCTGGCAACCAGTCCAATCCCCGGAGCGAATCACGGGGTCTCAACGGCCCTAGCGTCCGCCGAAAATGTTCCCCGATGACCTACATGTGACAGAGGCTGAAAGTTGCACCCCACTCGGCACCCAGCATTGCGGTGCCAAAGATCATTGACGGGCTTTTGGTCAGCGAGTGATTGAAGATTTGGCTTTGGGCTTGTGATAGGGATTTGAGGGTTGCCGCCTGACGATGATGGCTGCCGTTCATGATGCCCGGAGGAGGCGAGCGAGCGTGAAAGGGAGGCCTACTTAACATTTCAAGCATCTATCTTTTCTGCTCAATTGGATAGAAGGAGCTCTGAGACTCACATTTGCGCAGTAACAATCGGTCTAACGACGACGAGATTAGTTCCCAGCCAGACTTGACCGTTGGAGCAGCTGAATTGCTTTGTTTTGGCGGCCGAGGCTTGGCCCGAGGCATCACTTCTATATCCCTTCGACCTCCATCTTGCTCACGATTTTCACCTTTCCCCTATGTCCAGTCTTGAACAGCGCTCCGCCATGGAGAACCTAAACTACACCATGGATCCAGAACAGCGCCCCGTCGCAGAGAAGCACCTCCTCAACACGACCGTCAAGAATCTCACCTGGCGCGGTGTCACAGTAACAGTCAAAGATCGGGAAACGAAGCAGCCGAAGACGATTGTTGATAATGTCGAGGGAATAGTGGAAGCTGGTTCGTCAATTACCCTCGTGCATTGGATCAGCATGAGAAACTAACAGTGGTTGATTAAACGGGCGAGATTTGCGCTCTCATGGGACCTTCGGGGTGTGGAAAGACAACGCTATTAAATGTCCTAGCTCGACGACCCAGCAATACGAGCAATGTCGAAGCAAAGGTCCTCATCAATGGAAGCCGGCTTTCGAGAGCGGCGTTTCGGGACATTTCTTGCTTCGTTGAGCAGGAGGATGCGCTTATTGGGTCTTTAACTGTTCGCGAGACGCTGGAGTTTTCTTCGCGACTAGCCAGCACAAGGTAGGCTCTTGCAGAAGTCCAGAATGGGATCGCATGCTCTAGGGAATAGACTAGCTGATTGCTTACCGGTAGCTCCCTCTCCAAGCAAGAACGTCTCCTCCGTATCAACGGCCTCCTCGAATCCTTCGGCCTCGTCGACCAAGCCAACACCCTCATAGGCACGCCCATCCGCAAGGGCATCTCTAGCGGTCAAAAGCGACGTGTAGGTATCGCAAGCCAACTCATCACTACCCCGAAACTTCTCTTCCTCGACGAGCCCACCAGCGGTCTTGACTCAGCGGCGAGTTGGGAGGTCGTCAACTACCTCCGCCAAGTCGCTAGGCGGAACAACCTGATAGTCATCTGCTCGATCCATCAGCCCTCGACGTCGACGTTTAATTTGTTTGATAAGTTATTATTGCTTTCTCGAGGGAAGACGCATTACGTCGGACCTGTGAGCGATGTAGCGACGCATTACGAGGAATTCGGTCATACGGTTCCTCAGTACGTTAATCCGGCTGAGTTCCTTCTGGAGCTGGTTAACGTCGATTTCCAGCAAGACAAAGCCGCGGCAGCCCAGCGTCTCAATGATCTCCACGGTACCTGGCAAACCTCCCATCGCGCGAAGGATACCACGTCCGTCATTATGGCTGCTGAGCAGGAGGGCGGCCAGTTCGGAAACGAGGCGATGGATAAGAAACCCAGCATGCCGAGTCTGACGCTTACGCTATTGCATCGGAGCTTCATCAAGAGTTACCGCGACGCTGTGGCGTATGGTATTCGACTTGCCATGTACCTTGGACTGGCTATCCTGGTGGGAACAGTGTGGGTTCGCCTTGCCCCCGACCAGGAGTCCATCCAGCCCTTCATCATCGCGCTCTTCTTCGGGTCTGCCTTCATGTCCTTCATGGCGGTCGCGTATGTCCCAGCTTTCCTGGAAGATCACCTGCAATACGTCAAAGAGCATCAGAGCGGTCTCTACGGCGCCGCGGAATTCATTCTTTCCAACTTTCTCATCGGCGTGCCGTATCTATTCCTTATCGCCGTCGTCTTCTCCGTCATCTCGTACTGGCTGTGTAACTTCCACCCTACTGCTGAAGCGTTCTTCACTTGGATTATGTGGTTGTTCCTCGATTTGCTGGCTGCTGAGTCCCTGGTGGTATTCGTGGCCTCGTTGTTCCCCAGCTTCGTCATTTCGCTGGCGCTCGTTGCCTTTGCGAATGGCCTGTGGATGTCCGTCAGCGGGTTCATGATCCCGCTCACGATTCTCAACCCGTTTTACAAGTACGTCTTCTCCTACTGGGACTATCAGAAGTATGTCTTCGAGGGCATGATGATCAATGAGTTTTCCGATCGGGTCTATGACTGCGGTGAGGGCTGTCGGTGCATGTACGACTCTCCCCTGGCAGACCGGTGCAAGATTGATGGCCAGGCGGTGCTGGATCAGTATGGATATGAGACGGGACATACGGGCAGGGATGTGGGTATTATGATTTCTATTATCTTTGGCTATCGATTGGCGTCGTGGATTGTGCTTAGGGTTAGGAAGTAGATAGATCGCCTAGGGGATTGTTGGACGGTATTCACGGAATTGGTTCAGAATGTCAACACTGCGTTTGAAGCATATCGATCACGCAGTCAGATGGAAAGACATATAAAAAGGTCTTGATTTGTAGCTAATTGAGGGTCTATGTCAGCTCTTTCGTACATACATAGGGCTTATCATCATTGGGACTGTTGTGAGGTCCCTGAGTCAGTTGCTGTGGTCTGACCGTCTTGCAACAGTCTTGTAACAGTCCGGGACCGGATCTTGGGAGACCTGTGTGACATCATCTCTGGTGGGTAGTGTGTGTCCTCCCTCCAACAAATTATGAGGAGATTAGATCTCATGGATTTTCGTAGGCGAGCTGATAGCGGAGAACCTAGAAAAGGATATCAGGCGGGCAGGGGCTTTTTAGTGCGTGAGCGGATGACCCCGCAGAGGACAGCCCAGCCCGTAATATCCCGGATTTCCTGGTGATATCAGCAGCGCGACGCCGGCGCTCGACGG